AAAAAAGATAAAATGGCACCTTACCAAATATTATGCACAACAGTTCTCTTGAGTTGAATTTAAAATGTTCTCTGTGGTCTTATTTGCTTTGAGATTAATTGGATTAAATCAGGCTATGAAGAGTATGCAGGGTTCCAAAGCCGGACACTCCTCCACATGTTCTTAATCCAAATCAGGTTGGAAATTAAGTCACAGAGCTCATCAGAATAAGTGCCTGCTGGGTCTGTGATGGTCAATGATTTGGACCCAATAATAGGAAGGAAACATTCAAAATAAAACAGGAAATCACAAGACTCAAAACCACAACCATGATAAGAATATTTGCAATGGGTTAAACCCAGTGGGGAAATGTGACTAACTCACTTAGAGTTTTAATATTGGGCCTGTAACATTCATGCCCTCTCCTAAGAAGGATACTTGTTACCCTTCCTCCCTTAGCTGCACTTATTTTCTCTTCACTCTTTGCCTTTAAATTACACAAAGAATAACCTTTTACAAAATGGTCCAAAATGAGTTAACAGTTTGGATGGCAAAGTAATTCTCTTCTTGCTCCTCTATCCCCCAACATCTTTTTCATCCCTCCATATTTGACACTTCATTTGAGTTTTGGAAGCGTAGCCGTTGCCTCCTTTGCACATTCAGTTTAATCCATCCCAAACTCAGTTCTTCAGATTACTCCAAAGCTGCAATTTTAGTAAATACAACACAACTTCTTTTCCTACACTGCCTGACAAGGCATCCGTGGAATCTTTGTTCTCCTTCGACCCCTCAGCTAAAGCAGCAATGTCCTTAGTATATGGTTATTTATCTTGTTTGCAGAACACGTCCCTAGACATTGGACACAAGGGGGGAAAATGTACATATGTGACCGACTGATGACTGATGAAAGCATGTCCCTGCCTCTCTGGCACACATGTTCTGGCTCTGTCCTAAATATTAAAGTACTGGAAGCTCTGTCAGATTTGTTTTGAGCAGGTGATAGAACCCGATCCTCTGATTGTCATGCCCAGCATCCTGAGAGAGTGTAGTCCTCTTAAAGGAGCTAAATTATTAAAAAAATAACGATTGCAACCTTTAAAAAAGTTAGAAGCATGCAGGCCAATTCTCCTAAACTGGGAAAACCCACACCCTACCAGATATTTTTTTTTTGTTAAGAGATGTCACACAGCACTTAAAGCTAGATAAACTCAGGATACATCGTCATTCTGCTGACAAATATGAGAAACTGTGGCGTTTCTTTTAGGACCACGCTGAATCTGAGCTGCAGTCATTGTCATTATGGACACACTGCATCAATGAATCTTTTCAGATTGAATTCTTGAATAGCAACTTGAACCACAATCCCTTTGTGTGTGTGTGTCTGTCAATAACTCATCCGTAAAACCAATAAATACCTTTTTTAAATGACAGGAACTGACTTTTTCAGGTTACGGAGTAATGCGTGTGTTTGCATTAAACGTTCGCTCGTGAATACATACATTCATTGCCTGTTTTTAACATATGGTAAATAAGACTGAGAAGCCAAATTTTTATTTAATAAAGATTAATAATGCCTTACAAAGTACAAGTTTGGAAACATTACAACTCGGACACTAAAGTTTTAATAATGACTGATTGTTATGGAGGTTCCAGTAGGACTATTCCACAGCAGAAACTAACAACAATAACAATCCCTTTGTTCTTCTTCATTTAATGATTTACACATGTGCTTTTACTACATGTCAACATGTTTTAGGTTGTCTGCCCTGTCCTTGGTTATTGTGCCATTTGTTGTATCGCCTGCTCTCTGTAGATCGTCATATGTCTTAGTCTGTTATCATGATTCTTGTTGTCTGTGTTTATTTATTCTTTCATTTGGTTTCTTTCTGTGTTTCTGGCTGGATTTTAAGGTTTGTTGTTGTCCTGCGTCTTCTGCCTGTTGTTCATGTTATTTTATTTAATCCCAGTACCCGTTCCCTGCAGGAGGCCTTTGTCTCTTGGAAGGCCGTTATTGTAAATAAGAAACTCTTCTTAATTTACTTGCCTGGTAAAATAAGGTAAATTATCATGCATACGTAATAATAACATAAACTCTATTTATAAAGCACCTTTTCAAAATAAATTTTTTTACTTTAAGGTTTTTTAAACTGTACATTTAATGTTTTACTGATGTTCACAATCACATCTCCTGTAAAAGCTTTCATGGAGATTATTATTATTTTATTATTATGATTATTATCATCATCATACACACAGTAAACTGACTCTACCCACTGCTGGCAACTCATATGTTGAACAAAATCATCAGCATGCATTGTATAAGTTCTCCCAAACACATATACAATTTTTAAAATAAATCATCTTCTTACATAACTGAGTTATTAGTAACAATATCATATTTTTTATCTTTATATATTCACTGTTTGTTTCAGTTTTTTTGTATTTGTACAGCAAATAAAATAAACATTTTCACAAGAGACATTTCATTTTAATTCATATTTCTTTTGTCATCACTTTCTTATTTACATATATCAATCAAATAAAGAATAATAAATACATAATGATAAGCAGTGGTGGACAGTAATTAACTATATTTACTCACTTAAGCTACGTTTACTTTACTTGAGTATTTTCTTTTCGTGCCACATCTCAGAGGGAGATATTTTAGTTTTTACTTCACTACATTTATCTGACAGCTTTAGTTACTTTACAAATTAAGTTTTTATACACACAAAACACACGAAGAGTTTATAAAATATGATGTTTTGTTATATATTAAACTACCAAACATTTTATACAGCTGACAATGATTAATAACTTGAAATTAATTCACAACAAATTATATTGTTTAAGACATTTTTCATGTAAAAACATTTCATGGTTCCAGCTTCACAAATGTGAAGATTCTTCTTTTAATTATTTTAATTTATTTGTAATAATTTTGAGTGTTGTATTATTGGTTAGGCAAAGCATTGTGAAGGTGTCACTTTGGACTAAAAGCAGGTACTTTTGTACTAAGACTTCTACTTTCAGTGGATTTATATTTAGCAAGGATTTCTGTACTTCTACTCAAGTACAGGAATTGTGTACTTTTTTCACCGCTGATAAGTAATAGTACTACTATAATAATTGTTGACTGCAATGACTAAAAGCCTCACCTTCAGTTTGAGTCCAGTACAGCAAACTCATCACCAGAAACAACATGTTTGTGTACATGTCACCTGCCTGTCACTGTCAGACTGAGGACGTCTCTGGTTTCATACTGACATGTACTTGTTGGTACTGACAGACCATCTGACTGACAGAAACTGCTGACTTAAGTCAGACAGGATGTACCTCTGCATGTTTTAGCCGATGAAAGCCTTGATAACCTTACCAGAAAAGGTAACTCGTGATGACACTGACTGTATCATCATTATCGATCTGCGTAAATGGCAGGTAATGCTAAAAAAATCCCCAACTTGTGCTGCGCTGTTGATAAGTAGATAGTACAAAGCAAACTAGAATGAACATTAGCACTGATATCAGTACAATAACAGGAAGTAAAGTGGGCGCCCATTGATTCAATCATGAAAAAGGCCCAGCAGAGGATGTACTTCCTGCACCAGCTTGGGAGGTTCAACCTGCGTCAGGAGCTGCAGGCTGTTCTCTGCACGCGCATCACTGACTGGCCACCATACATCCGACTAGCATGGACAGTCAGGACTGCAGGCCTTCACTCTGATGAACAGTTATATCAGTGATAGTGTAAATAACCCTGGAATACTAAAACGTCCACTTACCTACAAATTATAAATTACATATTTACAGTTTAAAATACACACTGTGCTCTAACATGTACTTATCATCCATCTATTAATCCTGCGTACTGTACACACTGTATATGTATACATGCATATACTGTATACAACAACCCATTTCATGTGTATAAAGAATCTAGTAATTCACCCATTCAACATGTATTCCTTTGCACTTTTTATTGTAAAAACGTAACTAATGGAATAGTTACAAGTGACTAATAAATACATATAGCCTACATATCAATTGTAAAACAGGAATAGTTACTAGTAAATAATAAATGAGTACTTGCAGCTTTTAAATAGCGACTGATAAGTTTTAAGAAATAAATGTTAAAATAGCTTGCCATAAAAATGTGCAATTAGTCACTTATAACTTTAAAAAATGACCACTAGTAACTAATGGATGGATACTAGTGAATAATAAATACGTATACATATCAATTGTATTAAAAAAAGTAAAACAGGAATTGTTACTAGTAACTAATAAATAAGTACTCATAGGTTTTAAATAGCCTCTAGTGAGTTTTAAGGAATTAACATTACAATGGCTTGCCATGTGCCATAAAAATGTGCAATTAGTCACTAGTAACTGGAAAATAGTTACTAGTAACCAAAAATTAAGGACTATCTAATCACTAGTTACTTGTAAGTAATGGAATAGTTACCAGTAGTAACTAAAAAAAAGTACTAGTATCTAATCAAATGTAAGGTATTGTAAGGTAAAATGGGAATAGTTACTAGGGAATAATATAAATAATAAATAATAATAATAAAGTACTAGTAGCTTTTAAATAGTAATGGTAATAAATAGTATACTAGTAAGTTTTAAGGAATAAATGTTAAAATGGCTTGCCATTTTAGTCACTATTAACTAAAAATAGTTACGAGTAACCAAAAATTATATATAATTATATATAATCTAATCAATTGTTAATAGAAAGTAATGGAATAGTTACTAGTAACTAAAAATGAAGTACTAATATCTAATGAATTGTATAAAAAAAGTAAAACGGGATTAGTTAGTAGTAGCTAATGGATAGTTACTAGTGAATAAGTATTAAGTACTAATATCTTTTAATTTTCGACTATTACTTATTAAGGAATAAATGTTTGCCATAAGTGAAACACGCAACCGCGCTCACAGAGTTCCAGTCCATATTCTTCAAAGCAGTTTACGCTCGCCTTCCTCCGTGTTCTGCGCCCTACTCACGTTCACCCACGCAAATTGCGTGCTTTGCTCCGCGGCGAGGCTTTTCAGCTGGTTTAGCCAAACATCCACAGAAAAAGAGATGAGCAGGAAAACGAGACGAAGAAACTGAGAACAATGTAACGTCACACAAAGCTAGGAAGAAAATCTGTTTAGGTACGTAGGCAATTTTTTGTACTTTGCACACGTGTATTTGATAAAGTAGCTGAAGCTAGCCTGTGTTTATGAATGACTGTGTGGGGGGAAGAAATTCAGCGTTAGCCAACGTTGGCTAGTTAGCTTGCTGGCTAACACGTTAGCTTAACGTTTTGCTAAGACTACAGAGGCTAGTAAAAGCTAGCTGGGTAGCTAGTTGTTGATCTAACTAACGTTACTTTGTTCGCTGCTGTCCGTGAATAATTGTCGTTTTATTATCTGACATTACTTCATTTCATTTGTTTCAATGAAGCTAACGGTGTCGAGCTACACTGAGGCCAAACACTCACACACAAAACTACTGTGGCCTAAACCTAACTTCCTGCGTTACCCTAGCTTGTTTGATAGTTTGACGTGCTGTGAGATCACGTTATTATTATTATTTATTCCATAATGACACAAGTTAACGTCGGTTTAGCGATTGCAAGCAGAAACGTTTCAGATTAAACAGCCTTTGCTCCCCTGAATGGTGAAATATTGCTGCAGTCGTTATCAGCTAACGTTAGCTCCCCCTTCATCAAAACGTTTAACTACAGCTTTCTGTCCCAATATCTGGAGATGATTACAAAGCTGCCTCTCAGGTTGTCTCTTAAGTATTCACTAGAACCCAAAGTCATATTTTAGAGATGAGTTAAGAAGTGGTGCAGCTGAGTTAAGAAGTGGTGCAGCTGAGTTAATCGTTGGCGTGTGGGTGGTGAGACAGGGCGATGTTAGTAACGTTACAGATTAGACAGGAATTTCCTCTAAAACTATTATTTTTACTGCAGCTTGAAATAAGCAGATTGATTGTTGGGTGTAAAAGCTTTCGTTCCCATCGAGGCCACCAGCACTGCACGCACTCATTAGCTACTTAAACTGTAACATGCCACATATTGGGTAATCATAAATAAACTGCCTGCAGAAACAGCTTGGCACAAATATCAACACCTGCTATTTTATTTCATGTTTACATAAGAAATGTATTTATGGATGTGTCAGATTACTTTTGTATAGAACTCACTGCTTATTCACGAAAACAGCAAACCTACACACTGTATTTAGTGCATCAGGTGCCAACACAGAGGCTCTTCTTCGCAGATTTTGGTGTATCTAAGAAACTGTTCCTGTGTTTTTCTTGTCTTGTTGAGAAACTGTTGAATCTGTTGCCCCAGTTGCTTAGTAATTGAGGTCAGGTTTGTAGCCTGTGGCATGTATGTAGTTGATGCCGTTATGTGTGTGTGAGGCTGCATGCAGGTTAGTGGGTGTAGTAAATTACTAAACTTTCACTTTTCTGCTTGATGTCAAACAAGAGGGAACCACAACACAAAACATTGCAACAACTCAAGTATTGGCTGCAAAGAAAGAAAAGAAACTTCAGAAAGAAATTAGTTTTGATACTAAGATAAATTAAACCTTGTTTTAAAAAAACAAACAACATTATTTAACCAGGGGGAAAAAAAACCATTGAGATAAAATGGCCTGGCCAAGAAAGGGAGCAATTGTTTTCCAGTTAAGTGCGTGATTTTAAAGGAGGTTTGAGTAGAGAAAGTCAAACTTTGTTTGTTGAAAGTTTGTGGAAATTTATACATATCTAATATATATAATATATGATGATTATAATAATATAAATATAATATGTAAATATAGGACTGGATGATATGGGCAAAAATGTTATCACGATAAAAAGTTTTATGTCTTTCGAGATCGATAATTATCACGATAAGTATCAAATCTTTAATTCTTTTGCTCCTGAGTGAAAGTTGAAGAAACGTCATGGTTATTGTGGTTTTAAACTCTTCTTTATAGTCATCACTTGAGGCCAAACAGTGGATCACTTCACAAATCTAAGGTAGAACATTCAAAACAATTATGATAAAATCTTTGTCAACAAATATGCGTGAGTAAAATAAAGTAAAAGCTTTTATCAGTCCTTTTTCCTCAACAAAATAAAAATCCTAATTAGTGTATGATTCAAGTGAATAAAATCAAACATTTATTGAATATTTATAGAACATTTGTTATATTGTTATTGAAAAAAATATATTCCGACAATTATTGTTTTATTGTCCTGCCCTTTGTAAATATGATATAAATATATTTGCATGTCACTGCATAAACGTCCATATTGCACATTTTCCTTATTGTTACTTTATATTTTTTACATTTTGTCAATCTTTATATTTAAGTGGTGATGGAGCAGTGGATAAGTGTCATGTCTCGGTGTGTCATACCCAGGTTCGATCCCACTGTGACATCCACCAATGTGTCCCCGAGCAGAAAACTTAACCCCTAATTGCTCCAGAGGCGTGTGACCTCTGACACATATAGCAGTTGTAAGTCGCTTTGGATAAACGCATCAGCTAAATGACTAATTATATCACATTTCACATCACATTTATTCATTTAGCTGATGCTTTTATCCAAAGTGACTTACAATTGCTATACATGTCAGAGGTCACACGCCTCTGGAGCAACTAGGGGTTAAGTGTCTTGCTCAGGGACACAATGGTGGATGTGTCACAGTGGGGGATTGAACCCGGTCTCTCACACCAAAGGCATATTCTTATCCATTGCGCCATCACCACCCATAGCTATAATTATATATTTATATATATATATGTTTTCACATCACAAATCCAGAGTAATCCACATGTAAATAACCACGTTGTTTTGTTTTTCTCTTACACATAGTTCTGTAATGCTTTTTTAACTTGCATCTGTTTATTCCATATTTATATATGTTTTAAATCTATTTATGTCAACTAGGGTTGGGCCGAGAGACGATGACAGAGATCTGACGTTGAGCAGGCATCGTGATTGTAAAATCCTGAAATTTTGTAGATATCGCCCAACCCTAAAGTCAACTGTATGTTAATGTCTAGCACCTAATCACCATAGTATATTAAAAGTAAAATACTACTTGGCAGTAAAGCTCTTTCTGATTCTGATGTCATGCACAGGCAAAAATATAATACAATGAAAATTGCTTGATGACCAGTTTTGGTTCACCTGGTTCCAACCTGAGTTTGGGGAAAGGTCTTTTATATTATATTCAAGTTGCAAACTCCTCTTTTAGCTAAGCCAAAGATAGTGTGTGGGATAGATGTTGCCTCTCTCTCTCTCTGCAGGCCTAACCCTTTCCCATACATGGCCTATACAGCAGCATTGATTTTTTGCTTTGAGTTGCTCAGTCTGACAAAGGCCTGTGTGGGAGGGAAACAACTGTGTTTGACCTGCTACAGTGCATGTAATTAAAGGCATAGGCCTTACTTCAGTCGGGGCAAAATGCTACTTTATTATGGATTATCTGAATTTAGCACGTCTTGCAACCCTGTTTCCTTCCTCAGATGAGCACTTAAACAACAAATTTAAGTTCTCAGGGTAAAAGAGTTGACGCAGCTGCTCTGTGGTTGAAGTTTTTTTAACTTGAAAGTTCGGTTCATAGATTTTTATCAGCATTGGCAGTTTTTTAATATGCATTTAGCGGATTTTATTGAATATCCTGTGATGGGCACCTCCTAGTTATAATTAGACTGTAATAGACCTGTACAGCTGTTTTGTAAGACCACAGTGGTATATGAGTACGTTTATGTTGTGATTGAAAGTGCCCTTTATAACGGTCAGAGTAAATAACTTGTGTTGACTAATAGGGATGTCACGATGCGAGAAATATATTAGTTGATACGATAACAGTAAAATTGAATGATTCTTGATACCAGTTTGATACAAAACAATAACACCACAACTAAGTTGTGGGAGGATTTCCAGGACAGATGAGAGTTGATTTGATGTAATATATCATATATTCAATATATTCATTAATTAGTTATTGAAATTACAACCTTGCTATGTGCATATTTAATTAATAATCTTAACTTTTCTTTCAATCTCACAGGTGTGAAATGTTTAAGGGTGATCACTATCTATATTGGCTGTTGTCTGAGAGTTTTATATTGAAAAACAAAAAAGTTATTGATGATTGAAATGGATCGTATTGCACTTTTAAGACGGTCACTAACTCCTCCTACAGTAACAGGTGCGTTGGACAGACATTCAGTTCTTAGTGCTGCAAACTGCATCTTTGGTGATTTTCAGGTGATCAAAACTGTGAAACATCTGCCTGAATTAGCTCTCTGACTGTGAGAAATCGAGGCTTTGACACGAAACCTTTGAAGTTAACAGCCGCAGAACTAACTTCACCCTGGTTTCCATCTCTTTTCTATTAGACGAGCCGAAGCGGCGCTGTCGCTGCACTTGTCTCTATCTTCTGCATGTTGGATCTCTGGTATCTTCGGTACCTAGAAAAACGAGTATCGACATGTTTTCAGAATTTCGGTATCGACTTGGTACCGAAGTATTGGTTCTCGCAACATCCTGATTGACTAAAGTAGAGGTGTTTTTACGTCGTCTTGGCAGAATTTCAGCTAACACAATGAAAACCCACATGTAAGAATTGAGTCATTTAGCTGACCATGCTGCCCTTCCTCATGTTGTTCCTGTTAATAATAACTTCAGAGGAGATGCATTGACATTCTCAGCATTGTCCGCTATCTTAGACATTTCCCTCTCCTCTGTGTTATCCTTCTGCCTCCATGTCATTATCATGAGTAAAGAAGTGGTCATGAACCTCTTAGGCAGGGAACTATTATTCTGAAGTTGACTGACGTCAGTGCCAGCAACAACCTGAACATACGTACGTTAGCGTGCCAAGGAGTCTGTGACCTTTGTTACCCCTCTACTCCCAAATTGGCATCATCTTATCCCATGAAAAGAAAATACGAATTCCCGTTGACGGTGTGTTTTGTTACAGAGGAGGATAGTGATAAATATCTGTTTAACTGAAGATGTCAGCCACTAATAATTTACCACTTAAACTTAGGACAGAATATCTTAAGCTTTATAATACATCGTTGTTTATTTTATACCTACAAATTGTCTTGCAACAAAGTATTCTGAGACTAAACCAAAACATAACAAAACCCATCCATCCATCCATCGTCAACCGCTTATCCTGCCTACAGGGTTGTGGGGGGGCTGGAGCCTATCCCAGCTGACAGGTCGCCAGTATAACAAAACCCATATGATGTTAAAGTTAAACAAATAAACGTGATAAGCTGTACTCTTTATCATGTGTCGAAGTCATCTCCTCCAAAATAAATCCTCTTAATTCTGCCAACAGGACCTGACTAATTGGATTTAGGCAATAAAACAATAGTGATCATTTTTTGCGATATAATTTTCCTCAATAACAATATAACAAATGTTCAGTAAAATGCTTGATTTAATTCATTTGACTGTACTTAATGTGCCTTTTTAAAATATTTGTTTAGGAAAATGGACTGAAAAAGTATTTTTATTTTACTAATCATATTTGTGAAGTGATCCATTGTTTGGCATCAAGTGTTTTGTCATATTCTGACCATAAAGAATAATTTTAAACCACAATTAACCATCTGGTTTCTTCAACTTTCACTCAGGAGCAAAAATCAGCCTTTAAAGATAAAAAGGAGAATAATTATTTAACATTTATCATGATAATTATCTCTATGGAATGATGTGTTGTAGCCATTTTAATCCAATGCCTTGTTTTTTGTTTGTCTTTCAGGTGGTACTTTGAAACCTCAGCTCATAGTATTCTTTACGCCCAGGGAGTGACGCTTCGCTTGGCGCTTGGTATGACCAAACACAGGTTATCAGCCTCGGTGTGACAGTGGATAGGTTCAGGGGTCCAGCATTTAGTAGTTATACCCAAATTTTCGATGTAATAACGGGGAACTTCTTAACTTGGAATATTCCTGCTGGGGTTGGGTGCATGGGTGTTGTGCTGACTGCAGGTTCTTGTCATGGTGGACTGGTTTGTCTGAGCCTGAAGCTAGCATAGCTTCCCAATCATTTCATATAGCATGTTAGCATATGGCTAGCCACTTATGGTGACAGATCAGGCCGTCATCCTCCTCCCCTCATCACCATCTCTGGCCCCTACAAGGGGGTATAAAGTGGTAGGTAGTGGTGCCCCCTTACTCTGCCATCTTTTCATTTCTCTTTTATTTGGTCATCTATCCATCCACCCTTCACTTTTGTGTTGTACTAAGCACTCAAGCTAACTAAGCTCTTTTCCTTTTTATGAGATCCTCTTCATCTTCTATCTGTCCTAGTTCATCTTAAATTGCAGCAGCTCAGCCCCTGCCCTCTTTAAAGTCAAACCCCAACCTCGGTTTAATTCACATTTTGGCCCTGGGTTTGAGTACCCGAACATCTGACAGTCCAGCCACTAGGCAGTTGTTTTGGTAGTTGTTTAGGTTGCATGGAATCGGCTTAACCGTGGAGAGGCCAGGCTACCACAAACTGATGGACTTTGACAAGCGAGGAGTGGGGGGAGGAGGGGGCGGCGGCGGTGGGGGCGGCGGAGGCGGCGGCGGTGGTGGTGGTGGCGGTGGAGGGAAGGCGGAGACAGAGGAGGCGAAGAGGATGTCTGCAAAGACGGGGAGTCGATCAGGGCACGGTGGCCGGGGTGCCGGCTCCAACTCTGGGGTTCTAATGGTCGGACCAAACTTCCGGGTCGGAAAGAAGATCGGCTGTGGGAACTTTGGAGAGCTGCGACTCGGAAAGAACCTGTACACCAATGAATACGTGGCAATCAAACTGGTATTAATAATTTCTCTTTATATATAGTTTATAGTATTTCAGGGCAGCATGCCTAATTTGTTTAATAGTGAGAAAGACAATTATTAATCCATATTTCAGAAAATGAAAACGTAAGACTGAAAACAGTTGAACCATTACATACCTACAACATGTTTTGGGTGTGACTATGAATAATACTTCTTTTGTATGACAAACAAATATTCTAATTCAAACTTACTCCTCCTCTGCAGGAGCCTATTAAGTCGAGGGCGCCGCAGCTCCACCTAGAATATCGTTTCTACAAACAGCTGGGAACTTCAGGTGAGAGCCAACCTTTCTCTCTCGTCGGGTGCTCTTCTGTGAGAATCAGTCAGGCGGTACAAGGATAGTTTATCATTATACAACACAAGGTTGTATAACGAAAAGAAACGTCCTTTCATGCGACACGTGAACTTAACAGATCACTTATTAAATATGGTTAACATATAAAATAAACCAACACATTCCCACATGATTTTGAGAGACTATGGTGGGTGGATCTCAAACATGTCAATGCATTAACCTGGTGCACTTTCAGAGCAAAATTAAGAGGCTAGATCTCTATGATGTGAACAATTTGATCATAAACACATTGTAAAGATATATAAATGGTGATAAAACAGCAAAAAAGCAAACCTATTTATTTAATGTTTTTCCCAGCAACCCTAAATCACAGAATAAAGTAATTTCCCAACATTTTAGTGTTTAAATTTACTTCCATGCTGAATATACGTTGTGTTAACACCTTATATTGGAAAACCGGACGATGCCCCACATGTATCCTTGCGCTAAGTTCTGACGTAATTTGATTAATTATATTGCACGTGGTGCTTGTATCGTGTACGATTAAGACTTCAAAGCCTCTCTTCAGGTTGGACTCTCAAAACTGCAACACTTGTCTTTGTAAAGAGAAAAAATAACAGAATGAAGTTGCTAACCCTGCCTGTCGGCTCGCTCTGCTCCATTTCAGTGCATTTACCATAACAGCAAGAATACATGTGCCCTCCAAATTTAGGCGCAGCCAGCTAGTTAACGTTACCGTACTTACCTCAAATGATGTGTCCTCAAAAGAAAAGTGGGTATCGCATGTCGGACGCTAAAGTGTGTGAGCGTGCGAGCTTACAGCAGTGGCATAAAACACAACGTTAGAGGTGTTTAATGTTTTTAAGGGAAGCGTAAAAATATTTTTGGTTCATTTTGAAACTATGGTGGAACAAATTAGACTGGCGGGCCACATGGGAGACACTGGCTGGATAATTTATTGAGCCTTCAGCTGCTGTCAGTCTTCGTTGTCGGCTGTCTATGGGAATTAATAGCATGTCTCCTAAAGGATGCAGTGATGATAAATATGCCAGTGTCCAACTCCTGTTCCTTCTTCACCTGTTCATCCAGAGGGCGTTCCCCAGGTGTTCTACTTTGGACCATGCGGTAAATACAATGCAATGGTTCTGGAGCTACTGGGACCCAGCTTAGAAGATCTGTTTGATCTCTGTGACCGGACCTTCTCTCTAAAGACTGTACTCATGATAGCCATACAACTGGTAAGAACAAACACATTAAATTAACCAGGAAACACTGGTTTATTTTTGGATTTCTTAACTTTTTGGGCTCCGTCCTTTCCCTTAGATAACCCGTATGGAGTTTGTCCACACCAGAAGCCTGATCTATCGCGACGTGAAGCCGGAGAACTTCCTGGTGGGCCGACCCGGCTCCAAACGGCAACACACCATCCACATCATAGACTTTGGCCTGGCGAAAGAATACATAGACCCGGAGACCAAGAAACACATTCCATACAGAGAACACAAGAGTCTGACTGGAACCGCGAGATACATGAGCATCAACACACACCTGGGGAAAGGTGAGCGCTCCCTCGTGCTACATGTGCACACATGTACTAACCCAAAACATAAATCCAAACCTACCATAGATGTCTAAAGGCTTTTAAGATCTGTGTGAATGTGGAATATTGGTTTAAACCTGCCAGCTTACATTTTACTTTATTGCTCTTACAATATTAGGTTGAAAATGTTTTAATAACATTTTCTTTCTCCCTTTAGTTAGAAAATTCTGAGGTGATTGACGAAGATAAAAACTATTTTTTTCTTTATAATTGCAACAGAATAAATACACAGTTGTGACCTGGCTCATGAATGTTACTGTAAGTGCCCACTAACCAAAAAGAGTTTCATATAAAGTGAAATAATAATACTCACAGGAAAGTGGAAGTATCACAGGTTCAGTGTGATTTTTCTGGGGATTTACACCAATGAGTTCCTGCTGTAGAATATGGTGTGTCGGCAAGGACGTCTCATCATCACAATGTTCACCAGGGGTGTGACGGTACATTTACTCGTACACATGCGCACCGAATGCAATCTTTAACGTTAAATATTAGGCTTGTTTTGTGTGTGTAACAAACATAAATTCCGACATGGACATATTAAGTGGCGGACCAAATCTCCGCCTCTCACGGCGCTACGCAAGCGACCTGAGCATCATGGCCAGTGCAGAGAAGCCAGAGCGTGAAAACCCCTCTGTTCCTCTGTTTGGGAACACTTCGGTTTCCTAGTGAAATACAAAAACGGACGAGTCGATAAGACGAAAGCAGCGGGCCGACATTTCCCTGTAGTGATCGGGTATGTTTCTGGCAACACGTCAAACTCGCTAATGGTATCACACGAAGGAGAATGTCACTGCAACAAAAACGTTTCGGCATTTAAACAGACTTTAGTTTTTTTTAAATCTGAGCAGGCCTTCAAGCTGGGATTTATATAGATGGTATAAAAGAAGAATACGGCACTGTAATCCATTATTATATATTTATTTATTATATTTTATTAGCTATATGTGGTATTGTTTTGAGAACATTTTATTTAGTGGAGAACTTGGTGGTAGTTTCAGCTGTATGTTATTATTTTTTATTTTATATTATTTATTTATTATGTGTAATTTCAAAGTTTGTTTAAAAAATTGTAAACTAATTTGGATGTTTACAAAAAAAAAAAGCTAAGTTAATGTTAGTCTGTCCTTGTGCTCATTCCCTGGTTGGCAAACATCTGAGCTGTAATTTTAGTGTTTGTCCATTGAACCTGGAGCGTTCGAAGCGTATTTCATTCATTTTTATTTTTATTTCGTTTGGCTTTTTGTTTTCAAATTTAGTTTAGTTTTAATTAGTTTTTCAAGTGGGCTTACTAGTATGTAAATTTTTTTTTGAAAATGCTTAGGTTAAGTTTTGTTAGTTTTAGCGTGGACTAAATCTGGCACTGCTAAGAAACTGGAAAATAGATTTCATATCCAGCCACAATACCCGGCTTACGCAGGCTGTATGAAATTAACTGACGAAAGACGAAAACTAAAGACATTTGCGCTATAATTTTAGTTTATTTTAGTCAGTTTTGTAAATTTTCACACCTAGTTTTTGTGATTTTGTTGTGTTAGGGCTATTTTTTTTCTTTTTTATTGATTTATTTAGTGTAAAAAATATAAAATATTTGTGAAAAGTTTCTTTCATAATTTCCCAGAGCCTTGGGTGATATGTTTTAACTGTATATCTTAAAATAATTTGTAATTCTGTAATTTCAGTGATATAATATAAGGAAAAGCAGGAAATATCCTCACAATTAAGAAGCCGAAATGAAAACGTTTGAGATATTTGCTACGTTAACTGAAAAGATTAATGGATCCTCAGAATCATAGGTTATTAAATTTTCAACAAATTAGAGGAGGGAGTGTCGTAACTGTCACATTTTTCATTCCACTTTTCATCATTCAGCAACTAAAATCTGTTTTCTGAAGAGAACCAGTAGATTGAAAGCAACACAACCTGCGTGTGCAAGCATTGTGTTTTGTGTTCTTGGCATTAGACGTGTTAAACCTAACACCGCTGATGCTGTCCAGTCATTTAAGACCTGTGTTATTTCAGAGCAAAGCAGGCGGGATGACCTGGAAGCTCTGGGCCACATGTTCATGTACTTCCTGCGAGGCAGCCTACCGTGGCAGGGACTCAAGGTGAGCCGACCACCCATCCAGTGTGTTTATCAGTGCCAGCTTCTTCTTCTTTTTTTTATTCCTTCTTCCCTCCATGCGTGGACCTCAGAGTAAAGAATAACTCTCTCTCTTCATTAGGCTGACACTCTGAAAGAACGTTATCAGAAGATAGGAGACACGAAGAGAGACACACCAATAGAGGTCCTCTGCGAAAATTTCCCTGGTTCGTACACACACACACACCTCGACAAAAAAGCAGTTTTTCTGTGCAGCTGTCACATACATGCTCAGGCTAGCATATGTTGATCAAATTCTGTGTGTCTGTATGTATGAATCTGTGCTTGTGTGCGTGAATATGTGTTTGTGTGCCTGTGTGAATGTAACAGAAGAGATGGCCACCTACCTGCGGTACGTTCGTCGGCTCGACTTCTTCGAGAAGCCGGACTACGACTATCTGAGGAAACTCTTTACGGACCTCTTTGACAGAAACGGATACATCTTTGACTACCAGTATGACTGGACTGGAAAGCCGCTGGTTAGTGTGGAGGGGGTGTTTTGCACGGACACATTAAGTGAACTTAACTGCTGGCTTTAGTGCAGTGGTCGATGCTGAGAGGTCAATCACAGGACCGATCTACTGTGTAAACAGGAACTGATAAAGTCATGCTGTCAACTTAGTCTGTAATTTGAGTGGCACACAATGTTGCACCACTCAACGAAATCGATCTCAACCTTCTACATTTGATGTGATTAGCTTTTAATGGCCAAATAGTTTATTGCACAGAGGTCCTAGAGTGGCCCTGAACAACTCACAGTGTAAACCATAAAATCAATAATACGAAATCAACTCCTCATAAAGAAATGTCATGTAACAAACTGTGTGTTTCCTCACTCTGACCCCATGTTGACCTCACTTCCTGTGTGTTTAGCCCACCCCTATTGGTCCAGTGGCCAGTGAGACGCCACTTCAGACGAGCAACCGAGAGAAAGCGCCTCAAACCAAAAACCAGGTACTCACGCTCATATGCAACACGGTCACGTTAAGCGTTCACATGATTGTATGTAGAGTCTGAATATTTGGAACAGATTCGGTACATATTTGCCAAACTGTCAACACCAGATTAAAAACCGTGCATGTGCCAGACACTTTCTTGGTTGCTCCACTGGAAATAAGCTGGTTGGTTTCTTTGTCAATCAGCACTGAAGATCGCAGCCAATCTGCGCGCAGCGATTCAAACTGACGCTGTTGACACCAAAACTTAACGCACTAGAATAAAGTCCTCATTGTTATGTTTTAATATTTTTTGTACTACCTCAATTCCACAATAGTTAAATCATAAATTTATAGTGCCTGTGTAAAAGGTTAACCCCGGTTGGATTTTTTTCATGTTTTACTGTTTTACGAAGTTTTGATACTGATCAACAGAAAAGCTCAAGCGCAGTGAGTGTGGGTCACACCGTGTGGCGGCGAAAGTACTCCCACTGCATCCACTGCGGTTTTCATGGACGGCATTTACAAATTAATTATTTCATTTATATGATAATAATAATCTTCATTTTTATAGCTCTTTTCAAAATACAGTTGCAACTTTCTTGACAGAACATAAATAAAATAGTACACAGTCAAGATAATAACAACAAAATCAAAAATAACAATATCGAAAGAAAGACCTGAATAAAACATAATTAAAAACTGGTAAAATGCAAGAGATAAAAGAGGGATACAAACAACAGATTTGCTATAAAAGAGGCTTCCTTTCAAAGTATGTTTTGCTAACCTAGTTCTTCAGCTGTGGAAAATGCCTGGTTTCCTTTTGTAACGAGGCCAGCTGTGGGAACATTTAGCAGGGTCATAGCTGAGGAGTGCAGGCCGCGGCGGCGGGCTCGTAGGGCGCACGTAAACCTATGATGTAGGCAGGAGAAAAGGCGGTGTAATGTAAAAGTTTAAAATCAATTCTACACCTAAGCGGTAGCCAGAATAATGTTGCAAAGATGGGAGAGAGATGGTGATGCAGAGCCAAATCATAACAGCAGTCTAGACTGTACTCTGCAGTATACGCCATAAATCCACCTGTGGGCAGGCGGATTTACTGTATACCTACCAAAATATAGCCACAGATACACTGTCTTTTTTACAGTACAAAGGTGGAGGCTAATATATTAAGTCCTTAATGTATTCTGCGGTGTCTACTGCTCAGCAGAGACTCTGCCTTTTAGACGACGCCACATAAATACCTCTGTAAAACAGCACCAAGCCTGCTGTCTTCGGGCAGACCTCTTTGCCTTGCTGTCTTACCATAACCCACAAGCTTTGTGGCAGGGATGTTTAAAATGGATGAGTATAGTTTAAACAATAGTCAGTCACTCTGGGATTTCGTGGGCCTTCTTTTTTTGTGATTTTTGCGGCAGTTTTTCTAAAATATTGCTACGAAAGTTGCGTTTTGGAGTGAGTGTTTTTGCAATGAAATTGTGGGAATAAGTTAAAACTGCAAAAGTAGATTTTTTGTTACTTTAGAATTATAGTTAAATCATGAAACGGTCCCACCAGGATGTGGCGGGCAACTTACCAAGATTGTTTCAGCGCTTGTGATTGACCAGCATGCAGCAGCCTGTGTCCCAGTGATTACTCTCGTCTGGCGTCCGCCGTGCGTTTCTACCGTTCTCTGCGTGTGCTTTGCGGTGGCAAAATATTTGTCAATAGACAAATTTTCTTTTAAGACTGGACCACAATACTGCACGTTTAGCAGAACAGTTTTGGTAAAGAAGATCTGGATCCTTTTCTTCACAGTCCTTTGCTGTTATTTTTGTAGGCAAACGTGAGACGGAAACGGCGAGATAGGTCAAATTTGCGGAAAAGTTGCAGAGATTTGTGTTAATATTTGCGATCATGAAATCGCGAAATCCTGGAGGGACTGACTAGTAGATAGCTAATTCAGCACATACTTCATTCTACAAATATGAAGTGAACAAAAGCACGTCATTAAACTGACAAAATTAGATTAGAGAAGGCAATACGTCTGTCTGACTACGCTGTCTTGGACTGATACTGTATAACACAACCCTGGCAATGTCTTTTAATTTAGATCTGTTGACCAGTGTTAGAAAACCGTCGGTGATTTAATGTTGTTAAGCATGGAAACATGGGAATAGTTTGAAATGTTCATATACACTCTCACAAAGGGGCTGGGCAGTATAATCTAAAATGTATGTACTTGTACTGTGTATAATGTAGGACTTCCCCCTAAAAGTCAATGATTCCACCCAACTCATATTTTTAAGCAGCTACTTTTGAACCAGATGCTTGTACAATGTCCTCTGCTGCCGTCTAGTATTTGACTGCAGCCCCGCAGGAGAGACGCTCTGTGGTCATTTATTTCCTCCCCTGTATGGCGTTTGAATGTGTTGGTTTTAAAATGTATTTGTGACATTTGGAACAATCCATTCTGTCCTCACAGTTGATTAATTAACAAATACATAAATAATAGCTGCACATAGATTTGTTTATAAAGCTTGTTCTACAACAGTTTTCCCCCCTTTTGTCGATAAAGACTTAATCCAAGAAATAGGCGAGGGTTTGTTGAATAAATAATGATTTAGTGAATATTACATGACAGATCAGCTGTTGGTCTGATTACATTGCACAGCAATTCTAAACTGGGTTTAAACAAACTGAAATGAAGCAGCAGAGGTCTTGTCTGTAAAATGATATCCAGCATAACCTTGCCCAGAATGCACTGCTGCAGCCGCAGGGTCTTTCTAAATGTAGCACTTGAAGCAGTTCAGCATATTTGATGTTGATAAGTTGATGTACTTGCAGGATTCTTGCAACTTTTTCACATCAAGGACCCCTAAACTGACACAAATTAGACCACGGACCCCCATCTGATAGGATTTTGGCTTTTAGAAGTTTTACTCCAGAAAGTGCATCGAGTCCATGACTGAAATAGTCAAACATTGGGTCACTGTTACTTATGGATGGACTTAAAGTGAAAATAAATGATACCTGACCAACAGCAGCAAGGACACGACAGCAAAGCTCTTTTCCCCCGTGTTTTTCTCCTGGCATTGGAGCCTTGTGCTCACTTGTGCATTCACGCTAATTTAATCTTCACGTCGATTTTTCTCGCACGAGTTTTATCCCTGGACTACTCGCCGAGTGTTCACACACAATGCGATAATGCCAATAAACACAACCTGTGGTTACTCCCACACGGAATGAACCCAAAATGAAGAATCTTGATGTGCTTTATTTGAAATGAACGGATCAAAATGAAGCTGAAATAACAACAACATGATGCTGATTTGATAAACAAATTAATTCATGCTTTGTCAGGTCTGTCAGCAAGAAAATGTTTATTTCTGTGTGAGTGTGGATCAATCAGGCCTGTACTGTGCTAACTTGTTCACAGTAAAGAACAACGATGGCTGGATTCAAGTAACAGACACACATTTTCTGAACTTTCAAGCAAATGTTGTCTGGTTTTTGTATAAATCCGGTGGCTCGCTGCTAAGAAGCGCGCGAGAGAAGATAAATCAACGTTTTAATCCTTCAAAATTACAAGTAAAATTTAATTTCATAAAAGCAATTAACTTTGAGCTTTCAGCCCGTCACTCAGCAGCTTTCTGTCGGCCAGTTGAGATTCAGTCGCTCCGCTCTGCCTGATTCTCTCGTCACAAAACTCTAAAGCCGTCTGTAACGTCCGGAAAGTCTTAAACTCTGATAAGCTATTGCGACACAGCGTCACGCAACTGACGCGCATAAGTTAAAAAATTCTCAACTAGTGCGAATCCTTTTGCTTTGAGATTGGTTTGAGAGGAGCATCAGGTGGACAGTTTATTGGCTTTAACCCAGCAGATGGAAACGTTGGCTTAAAAATCCCTTGATTGTGGAATCCAACGACAATGCGATAATTCCACGGTGATTTGTACAGGTTATACTGCCCACCCCTACTTTTACATTCTCAAACACATCAGTGCAGATTTACAAAGGGCACTTGTTGAGTTGCACTGAGGCCCTTTTTTTGGGTCTTAATGCCAAAAAAGACAGGTTTGAGGCGGGTGAGGTTGAGGTAACACAGAAAATGATCCACCTCCTTCTCCTTTTGCATGGAGCTTCCACACGTGCACACTCTCCTGTGCACTCACACTCTACTGCACACTTGAACGCACCATCCTGTTGTTCATCCACCAAATACTGACTGTACTCACTATTTCTTTTCTTTTTAATTATCTCCTCATTCTTTTCTTTTTTTTCTTTTTCTCATGGTACTGCTTCTAACCCCGACACACCTCACCTCCATCTTCTCACTCCTCTTCCTTCTCCTCTCTGTTCCACATTGTCTCTTCCCCTTTTCATGGTAACCCTCTTCTTCCATCTCACCTGTTCCTCTTTCCCTTCTCCTCCTCCGCCACCACTACTACATCTTTCTGCTCCTTTTTGTTTCTCCTGCAATCGGCTTCCTGTCTCCTCTAGTCTCCAGAGGGGAAAGGCAGCGAGTCCCAGCCGACTCCAGTGACCAATCGAGAGCTGCTGGGCTCCCATCTCACTGCTGATAGGCTGGGAGGGTCTGTCCAGGTACTGAGAGGATGGGTTAGCTCTGCTGGCTTCCTGTCTGTCTGCCTACCTGTATATCTGTCTGCCTGCATGACCTTATCTGTCTCTGCAGCAGGGCTGACCTCAATAGTTCCCTCACATGGAACTATTGGAATAGAAACCTTTACTTATCAGTGTTGCACACAAGTACCACTAACTTTTTTTAACATTAAAGTAATGGAGATAATGTCTGGAAGGGCAGGTGGTTGGCTGGCTTCTCTATAGACAGAGCAGAGAGTGTAGAGACCACATGATGCCGGCTGCTTTTTGTGAGCCGGCGAGGTAGAACAGGCCGGGTTTTATTCTGTGTTTGCAGCAACAGCTAGAATAAACAGAACGTTAAGTTGGACGTAGTTGCTCAGATCAGAAGAGTTAGTGTATGTACATTTGTTGGAAAATTGATGCGTGTTAAATGTGGAAACATCTGGATTTAATGCATTTTGAGACACAAGTAGTTTTTCCATGTTGGCTAAAATTAACTTCATTAGGCAAAATCACCAAGTTGTTGTAATACCGGAAGTAGCATCGTGCTTCATTCAATTTACTGACAAGATAACTGATATATGATTATTGGTATTATCAACCACAACAGGTGAGACCTGAGTATGAAGAGCAACTCCAGTCACGTAAAATATACCAGAGGAATATCATTTTCAAGAAAGCTGTGTCTTCTGTACAGCATTGTTTGGGTGGGAATATACGGTACTGTGCAGAGGTTCAGGCAGGTGTGGAAAACATTTTGTAAAGTTCCATTAAGGCCCCTTCTTGAGACAGTAGATAGGCGTTCCAGGGTCCCACTGTTTTCTGCAGCTCTGAGCTGATTGCATTGCAAGGGAAGTAAAGCGTGATGTCTTTCATCTGCTGCAGTAAGTTTCTTTGGCCGACCACTGCGTCTGCGGTCCTCTTCGTTGCGTGTTTCTCTGTGCTGCTGCTTCTTGTGCTTGGACAGCACATCTGGAAACCCCTGTCTGCCTTGAAACATCTGCGGGAGCGAGACCTTGCAGAAGCAGTATAACTACCTCGTGTCGTGTTGCTGTTCTCAGTCTCACCGTGGTGTCTGACATTTGACTGTAAACTTGTTTTCCCTCCTACACATCTGTTTCTGTTTCAGTTAATGATCGTGTTTCAACCCACATATTGAATTTATGATCATAAGCACCTGTTTGGTATAATTGTTTAATCATAAATATGAATTTCTGCAAGTTAACCTAGAAGAATTGATGAAGTTTTGAAAGCAAACTGTGGTTATAGCAGCCAAATCTAAACTTTGGAGCCACTGAGGTTTGCACAGACGTACTTGCCGTCTGCACCATATCCTTCTAGTGTAATAACATCTGGTCTTGCTTTGCTTGCCTTTCTGTTCCGGGTTTATTATCAACTGTTAATGGCCCTCAGATAAATGCATTAATCCATAACGCAGTCACTGTCACTACACAAGTACAGCTGGCCCAGCGTGGTGTGCCTGGTGGAGCGTAAAAAAAGTACTGGTTCCCCCCTTCCGTCTAACACCACCTGTCACCTGAGTAAAAGTTCCTACCTAAATTGTGTTTGACACAAAGCAGAAAGGTGACACCTACTGGACCCACTAGTGTTCTGCACCGAGCACAAACTCTCCTACTGTGATCAAATATTGATTTCATTGAGATTTTTCTTCTGATCACTCACTTGTAAATTTAAAACATTTCTATTTTTGAAAGCATTCTTACTTTACAGCATTACACCTGCCTGAAACTTTTGCACAGTACTGTATGTATAAAATAAATAACTATGTGACACACAGATATCTACCATCAATATCACAAAAGTTCTTCTGTTGCCTACAATGAGACTCAGCATATGCCAGAACATTCTGGCTTTGTGTGTGCAAGATTAAATGTGTTAAAAGCTCTTTAAAGTATACCTCTTTTTAACCCTCTGTTTTTAATGAACAGCATTTCTATCAAGACGCATTAAAAGTGACAGTAGCAGCCGAGGAGAATAAATAGTTGTGACATATTTCAATGTTTTAAGCCTCTTCAGTATTTGCATGGAGTAGGTGAGCCTAAACATTTTGCAAAGTTGAATATAATATAATTTCAGTCAGGGAATTGTTCACTGAAGGGTTGGGAAATATTTAAAACAAAAAGGAAAGATGTGTTCAGCCATTAAGCAGAGGAGCCGCTTTTTTGCATGGCGAACATGGACAGTGTGTGCGTCTGTAGAGGTGTGAAGCTTCCCTGGATTTCACAGTTCTTATGAACTATTTAGGGATGTCACGATAACAACAGTTTAGAGACCAATACCCAAAATCGATACCACAAACAAAACAACAAATCCCATCATGTACTTCAACATACACTCCTTTAATAAAAACATTTGAACATTACAAAGAAAACTAACTGCTGTTAAAGTTGTGAGAGGACGTCCAGGACAGATGAGAGCTGGTTTGAAGTCAATATATTCATAAATGAGCAAGCTGTTTACGTTACAACCTTGCACTGTGCACAATTAATTGATTTTTAACAGGTGTGAAATGTTTAAAGCCTAGTTCACACTACACGATTTTAAGCCCGATTTGCAGGTCGGCGAGCTCGGCAACCGTCAGGCTGTGATCGTGAGTAAATCGGCGATCCATCGGCGGCCGCCAGATATCTAGCATGCCAAATATCTGGAGGAGTCGGCCAACTCGACATCCACATCCAGCCAATGAGAGCAGGCAGCTGGCAGAGCAGGGAGCTACTTTTTCACTCCACTCCAGCTCTCTCTTTAGCTCAGACAATCCCTGCTACCTGTGTGAGCTAATCCATTGTTTCACCCAGATTCTTTGTCTTTATAATTGCTATCTTTATAATAAAAAACAACAGCTGTTTCCTGTGCAGGTTCGCGTCATTTCCCATTTCACATTTCACATGTTTTGTTTGGCATAACATGGTTTGCAGACCAGCGTCGGGTGACTCAGCCACTGTCAGCTCGTGTTGTGTGTGACCCCCTGTCACCAATCAGTCACGTAGTGTGAACGCCACAACGACTTCCAGACTCCCGTCACAAGACGGCAAGTTGTGTAGTCTGAACAGCACGGCGATAACCGCGAATGTTAAATATTAAACTGGCTTCTGTCGCTGCAGCTGAACTTGTCTTCATCTTCCACATGTTGGATCTTCTGTACCCAGAATTTTGGTACCTACTTGGTTCTCGTGACATCCCTAATCTAGACGACGTCCTCATTAAGCTGATTTCATTTGAAAACAATGTTTTTCTTTCTGAGGATACAGAGCAGGAGACAGGTGGATGTGTAACAGAGTAACCACGAGTGTGGAAGCATGTTGTTGTCACACATTAACAGCTGCCTTAATGTACATAATAATAATATTTAATATAATAATTAACATAATGCACACCATTTTTATTTATTTTTTTTACTTCCCACTAAGATAGGACTGCATCTGAACTCATCCCTCTCTTTTCCGTTTTTCACCTCCCAGGTGATGAGTTCAACCAATGGGGAGCTGAATACAGACGACCCCACTGCAGGACACTCCAACGCACCAATCACAGCCAACGCAGAGGTGGAAGTGGCTGATGATACCAAGTAAGGACAGACACACACTCTTAAGTTAAAGTAGTATACATGTGTAGAGTAGAGACATCAGCACATCTCTTCTTTTTACTTGTTTTACAGTAACAGCCCCAAAAATAGCTGGGCTAAGCTGCTCCTGTAGTTTTTTAAACCAGTTTTTACATAAATAGGATTTGTATAAGTCGATACCTTTTTTAAAATTTGTATTTATTTACATAAAAGTTTACATAAAAACACACAGACGGATGAACTGAAATCACTTATCTCGTGAACCCGATGAACCCTAAAACACATGTAAATACTCCTATTTATTCTATCAATGTCATTTATTTATATATATATATATATATATATATATATATATATAAAAATTTACTGAACAGAATTCTAAACGCAGCACTTTTGTTTTTGCCCCATTCATCATGAGCTGAACTCAAAGACTTTATCTATGTACACAAAAGGCCTATTTCTCTCAAATACTGTTCACAAATCTGTCAAAATCTGTGTCAGTGAGCATTTCTCCTTTGCCGAGATAATCCATCCACCTCTCAGGTGTGGCATATCAAGATGCTGATCAGACAGCATGGGGATTGCACAGGTGTGCTTTAGGCTGGCCACAATAAAAGGCCTTAGGCTGGCCACAATAAAAGGCGACTCCAAAATGTGTAGTTTCACTGTATTGTGGGGGTCCAGAAACCAGTCAGGATCTGGTGTGACCACCATTTGCCTCCTTCGCACAGAGTTGATCAGGTTGTTGATTGTGGCCTGTGGAGTGTTGGTCAACTCCTCTTCAATGGCTGTGCGAAGTTGCAGTCAGGTCGAGACCCCGATGAGGACGACGAGCATGCAGATGAGCTTCCCTGAGACGGTTCCTGACAGTTTGTGCAGAAATTCTTTCGTTATGCAAACCGATTGTTGCTGCAGCTGTCCAGGTGGCTGGTCTCAGACCATCTTGGTGAAGATGCTGGATGCGGAGGTCCTGGGCTGGCACATGGTCTGCGGTTTTGAGGCCGGTTGGATGTACTGCCAAATTCTCTGAAACGCCTTTGGAGACAGCTTATGGTAGAGAAAGAAATTAACATTCAATTCATGGGCAACAGCTCTGGTGGACATTCCTGCAGTCAGCATGCCAACAAATCTGTGGCTTTGTGCTGTGTGATGGAACTGCAAATTTTGGAGTGGCCTTTTATTGTGGCCAGCCTAAGGCCCACCTGTGCAATCCCCATGCTTTCTGATCAGCATCTTGATATGCCACACCTGTGAGGTGGATGGATTATCTGGGCAAAGGAGAAGTGCTCACTAACACAGATTTTGACAGATTTGTGAAAATAGGCCTTTTGTGTACATAGAGAAAGTCTTCGATCTTTGAGTTCAGTTCATGATGAATGGGGGCAAAAACAAAAGTGTTGCATTCATAATTTTGTTCAGTGTGTGTATGTATGTAATATTTTATGTTTATTGTTGTCCCCCAAAACAAATTCCTTGTATGTGTAAAAACAACTTGGCAATAAATCAGATTCTGATTCTAAAATCCCCAAAATTAGCATTAGACTCATTAAAGCATTAGTGTGTTTTTCTGGACACTTTATTCCACTATTATAGTATAAGCCTAACACCGTATTTTATCAAATAATGGCCGGGACTGTTGCTGACACACACAAAGTCCAAAGTACAGGCCGGAGGGGGGGAAACAGGGTGGGTGAACTCATATAATATGCATGCCAACTAAGCATAATGTACATTTTTGTCGCTTTGATTTAAAATCAACAATATAATGAAGCTATTTTCACAACAGAAAGATCACCCACTACTGCACGCTACTTTAAAATAACCTAACAGCACAGAAAGACAGGAAACCACCCACCACCACCAAATTAGGTCCAGATGAAAGTAAAACATCAGTCAGTCATCATAAAACAGTAATTGTAAACTCAAACCGTAAATAGTGACTGAAAAAGGCAGAAGCTAATGCTTATCTAGGCCTCTCCTGTGTTCTTATCAATTAAATTTACCCACCTCAAAGGAAAAGGAAATAAAGAAACCAGAATATAAGTAAAGAAATTAACTACTCACATTTGTAACCATCAAAAATAGACGTACAGAACACTTAAACACCACAAGGAAGTTGCTTATTTTTAAATTTACATTGGAGCTGTTCCATAATTCAACCCCAACAATACAAACACATCAACCTTTCAATCTCTTTGTTTGCTCTTTGAAAAGTAAACTTAAAAGTACCTCTCAGATCATATTAACTTTTACAAAGCTTTTTGTTTTTCTGCCATTCTGGTAGTCAATCCCTTTTCTCTTATGTTCAGCCACAAGACTGCACTTTCTGCAAAACCGTTTACTGAAGATCTGAATACTGTTTGGGTTTTTCTTTTTTTGGCCAATGTGAGATGTTGGTAATCACACATGTCTGCTAGGGGTGTGAATCTCGGGGCACCTCATGATTCCATTTGATTACGATTCACAGGGCCGCGATGCAATTTATAAAACGATTATCGATGCATCTTGATTTCCGGATTAATTAGTAAGCATTTAATTTGCACATTAAAATCCAAAAGAAGTGTTGTCAAACATTGTCACTTGCAGTGGTGACGCCGACGATTTGACGCAGAAGTATAAATTACACTTTAACGGAAACACTGTGACCCACATGTAAATTTACCGCCAGACTAATAACTTAATAAGTATCTTAAATATTTATCCTCCTAAGTTTCACCGTGAAGTTCTGCCGCTTGCCCACTCACTCGCTACGCACACAGGAGACAGGGGAGCGTTACCCTGCTGCACAGCGTGCGAGTGAAGCTCATTTGTTGCGCATTGATATTAATGAGCCTGTGAAATTTTATTAGTGGGGGTCATTCATTCAGCAGCGGCACAATCATAGGCCGTATGAACTGAAATGGCAGTCACAGACTGTCCGGGCGCTGCGCTTCCAAGAGTTCCGTTTTTTGTGTTCCGTGAACGTCACGTTGCCAGTTAACATTTAGACAACCGATTTTTGGCGTTTGTTAATCGATTCAGAATCTTTCACGTCCGCATCGCGATGCATCTCAGGCTGCATCCACACTACTGCGTTTTCGAATTAAAACGGAGAAGTTTGGAAACGTTGCCGACCCCGTTTTGCGTTTTGAAACTCCGGAGGGCGTTTTAGTGAAGACGGGCCAAAACGGAGGACTTTAGAAACAATGACGCTCTGCTCTCTGATTGGGTCTTATGAGTCATGCAAAACAGAAACAGGATGCTACTGACAGAGTTTTTAAGTTTTTGTGTTTTTATTAAAATATTCTGTACCGTGCAAATAACACTTAGGCCAGTCCACCTACACTTGAAGGCTACTGTGCACGTCGCCATTTACTTTGCAACGACTCGCGGTCTGTTTTCCGCCGCCACACTCCCGTGTTACATTCAGTAACAGTCACACCCCGTTATTGGTGCATGCAAAAAATAATCCGGTCTGATTCTTCGTCTGCATTACTTCAGACCATCTGCTTCATGTTTACACCGGCACGTGCGCATGCCCAGTGTACGTGAACGGGCACTAGATGTGCGTTTTCAGTCGTTTTAATGTAGACGGGGTCACCTCTGATACGCAGCTAAAACGCTGGTGTGGACGGAGATCGTATTCGTTTTAATTCTCAGTTTGTAAACTAAAGTGGAGTTTAGCAGGAAACGGCGGTGATTGGTCAAAATTGCAAGTCGCTCTGAATTCACCGGGATTTCTTGAATTTGCTTTGATGGTTGCGATCGCGAAATCGTGGCGGGGCTGTAAAATGTTTTTTTTTGTTGTTGTTGTTGTTACTTGATTGGTTGTACAGGAGCTCATAGTAGAAGAGTGTTTTACGCGTTTAATTCACAAAGTTCATTGTTGCTTTAAAACACCTGGTGGTTTGTGTGTTGCAGGTGCTGCTGTTTCTTCAAGAGGAGGAAGAGGAAAACTCTCCAGAGACACAAATGAAAACGAGAGCGAAACCCTAGTCTCCGCCCCCCCCTTCTCTCTCTCTCTCTCTTTCTCTAGCTCTCTTCATATAACCCTCCCCCCCCCCCAGTCCCCCTCTGACCCTCCTCCTCTGCTGCTGCAGGAGGTCCTGTGGTCCACCTTGGGTCGGCTGGACTGGCTGGACCGCCGTGCAGCAGAACATGTTTGCTAAGCTGGTTTATTCTGCTCTGGACTGACCAGACAGAAAGAGAGTAACATGTGTTCCACAACTGAGCTTTAAATGTGGACTAACTGTACCAGCGGCGGAGTCTTAATGTATTTATGGTCACAAACAGAACTGAAACTGCATCTACACAAACTTCTTCGGAAACAAGTGACCACAAGTGAACGAACAGCCGATAGACTGTAAGCTGATTGGCTGACGAGACTTAATTCAACGGGTTAACTGGCGGACCGCCTAGTTCTCTATTTTCTTTGTTTTTGATTTTTTTTTTTTTTCTTCTTCCTTACTGACTGGTTCAGAGGAGAGACGAGCGTATTTCTGAGGAGATACAGAAGAGAGGACGACAAAAGGATCGGAGGAAATGACTGTCGGACCACATATACATATATACATGCGCTGCACACTTTCTCATCATAAAGAGACTTCAGAAAAGATCCAGCTCTCTCACACACACACACACATAGTACTATAACGTTTTTATTCCCTAGGGTCAAAGGACTAGTGAGCGGCTCGGTCTGTTTCCTGCAACAGATCGGGCTCGGTGTACTTCTCATCCTCAGAGGGAAAAACCTCACAACCACCAGAATCAAGAGTTTAAAAAAGATGTTTATGTGAAAACTATGCTTTATTTTTTTTTTTTTCTCCTCCTGTTTTAATTTGTAACTAAAAAAAAAAAATGTCTAGAATTTGGATCCTGTGTTTTTTTTTTTTTTCCTGTCTTTTTGAGTTGTTCAGAAAGTTTTTGTAGCTTTTGAGTGTGTTCCTCAAATTTTCTTTTTTTTCTTTTAAATAACTTGTATTTTAAATTTTCAGTTATTTTGTTTTTTTTTCTTCCCTCTTTCTCTTTGGGTTGGAGGTCGGATAACTCCATTAAAAAAAAAACAAAAAAAACAACCAAACAAAATAAAAACGGATCTTTATTTAAGGGAATCATGAACAGTTATTATTTTGTTATCAAGTGTTTGAGAGAGATTTTTGTCTATAGTGGAGCTCAGGACGTGTTTGGAAGCATGATTCATTCGTTTTATTAGTTACTTCATGTTTTTATTATCACAAATGATCATTTAGAAGCAGTGTTGGGCAAGTTACTCCCAAAATCTAATTTATTATAGATTACTAGTTACTGTCGTTTAAGAGTAATTAGTTATATTACAATATTAGTTACTTTCACTGCTGTTTAATGGGTGCGTTATTCAGATAATAAGATGTTCCTGCATATGTGGGTTCTTGTGATGTGCAGATCTCAGTTATATCCTCAGATCGAGTGGGGCTTTGTCTTAAAAATTAACATTATGATTAATAGCAGGGGGCTTGTGGACGGGTGAAATAGGATGAATCATCTCCCCATTAAAGGTGCAGCAGCATAACTTAATTTATTATTTAAATCTCCGACACTCTGGATCGGTCAGGATGAACTGACAGCAGCCTCTCTGATCATGAAAGTAAATCGTTAAAGAAAACACATTTAGATTTCTATTTATGCACGATAAAGATACAGAATAATAGAAATGCAAGACAAAAATAACATTCTTAATATTTACATCTAGCAACTGCTATATATGTCAAAGGTCGCACACCTCTGGAGCAACGTGGGGTTAAGCGTCTTGCTGAGGGACACACTGTGTCACAGTGTACAGCAAAAGCAATACTGTAATTGCATTTCTCATGCAAAGCTTTACTCCCAACACTGTTTAGAAGTCAGATTGCCACACTAGGAAAAACTACCGGATAAAACCAAGTACAGATCCAGCAAAGTGTCCGAAGTGTCTGTTGAGCTTCAGTAATATTAAGCTTCATAGGGGAGAGCAGGTGGTTTTGAGCCTGTGGGGAAGTTGAGCCAACCTTTGTTTCTCAGCAACCGTAGGCACAACTGGTCATGTGATGACACATTTTTGAAGAGTCATTTATTTTACTCACCCTGCGATGGAGAGAGACTCAAAGAATAAGTGATAAAGCACACACGTCCAAAGTGATATTTTTTTTTAGGTTCAATTCGTTCATGATTCTCATGTCTAAACAATTACAGACAATTGTAATTGTCTTGCTATTTCTTTATTTCTTTTCTTTTCTTTTTTTTTTTTTTACCAGGAACCAAGAGTTTTTGGAGATGAACAGAAACTACCAGGTGGCAGGGACACCATATCTCCGGAAAACAAAGTTTCCATTATCTCTGGAAAAACAACATTTGTTATTTTAAGACTCTGACGTCAATAACAACAAATTAAATCAAGTGGAAACGGAGTAAATAAAACATATGAATGCGTGGCCTCTTAGGGCTTCTGTACTTTACCATCATGTCACAGCGACCTTTCTTTTCTGTGGAGAGACCAGACTCTTTTTTGTGTTACATTTTTAAAATGTATTTCAGTAATGCGAAATGTGTAAAATAATATTTCACAGAAAGACAGTTGTTACTGTCAATAAATTAACCTTTACTTTGTTACGGAACGGAGGAAGCGAGTCGGAGATAACTCTCACAACTTCCCTTTGTGCCATATATGATCTTTGGCAAGTCTGCCGTCACATGAGGAAGCGCTATTGGCTGAGAGGCAATTACATCAGGAGCAAGAACGCTCTCCTATTGGTCCATTCCTTTGGCTAGCTATGCTTACGTCATTATCGCCGGTCCTCAGTGTTGTTTACATCTGCGCGTTCACTCGTCGCCAGGTGTGCTTTTAGCCGCCAGTTAGCTGAAGGTTAAAGATGTAGCTGCTTTGCGGATTGTTTTTCCACAGACACAGTCACATCTCTGTGCAGTTATTTATCAGCGAGTTGTTCAGGTGTTTAAATGTAAATGTAAAGGGGGCAAATAGCGGGGATGAAAACCCCCTCAGTGGCGGTTCCGTTTCGGTTTTCATTCCTTCCTCGGATGCTCCTCCTGGCTTTGACTCTCTGCTGTCACCTGATTACAAGAGGAAATTTGTCACCGCGACGGAGTGAATAATATCTTTTTTGTGCGGCTTGTAACAAACTGAACGAACACACACGATTTTTTTTTTTAAGTGTCTGGAAAGAAAGCAACGTGGGAAAAGAGGAAGCGAAAATTAGTCATTCGTCATTTAGCTGCAGTTGTGCCTCTCCCGAAGTGGAAAGAATCGTTTAGCACATTTGGTCAAATAAGTCCAGCCCTCTAAGTCCAGCTGATGAAGACGCCTGTTGGGATTTTCGTTTAAAACTGTTTTAGTTTCCCTACAAGTCGTAATGTCGGACACAGAGAGGTCTCTGCCGGTCCTCCGCAGGCTCAGCTATGCGGTGGGACACTTTCTGAACGACCTGTGCGCCTCGATGTGGTTCACATACCTGCTGGTTTTCTACCACTCTGTGCTGGGTTTCCAGAACACAAATGCAGGTTAGTCCTTCTGTCTGTTTCTAATTATGCTTCTATAGTAAAAAATAGTAGTAGTAAAAAAATACTCGTAAGTAAAAGTACTATCACCACATTGTAAAAATACTCCCCTTTGAAAATGTTACTAGAGCAAAATATTAATACCACACTGTAAAAATGATCTTGTCACAATTAAAAGTCCTGCAGTAAAAATGTTACTTAAATAAAAGTACTAATACTGCACTGTAAAAATAATATTGTCACAATTAAAAGTACCGCATTGCAAATGTTACTTAAATAAAAATACTAATACCTAATATAAAAATACTAATAATAATATATAAAAATTTTTTTGCCACAATTAAAAAAAATGTTACATAAGTACTAATACCGCACTGTAAAAATACATTGTCACAAATAAAAGTACCAGATTGAAAATGTTACGATACTGATACCGCTCTGTAAAATACTCTTTCACACGTAAAAGTACAGCATGGAAAAAGTATAATCACAGTGTTTCCCCTACATGCATTCAGGAGCGGCGGCGCGCCGCTACTATCATTTCCCACGATTATTAAACTTTGCAATACAAATGTTTTCACTCGCACACTGTGCAAGCACGGCAACACTCAATGCTCGGCTCGCTTCCTCTCCTCGTTCTATGCAGAATATACGTGACCGATGCTGTTATAAGAGCAGCGTAACTCTTTTTTTATTAATGTCTACAGATAAATGTCAGAAGCTGTAAAATGGCAAACATGAATAGTCGTATCTATAATGATTCTGAGGTCATATTAACAGGGTTTTAGGGGGTGATGCTTAAAACATACTGTGCCATCAATGTAAAATCACTGTGGAGCAACAGAGCCAACCAAATTACTTTCTCCAGATCTAAAGGTTGTTGTCCCTCCAGTAGACTGATCTTTGGGTGTTGTTTATTTATTATCTGCTCTAGCTTTTCCAGCTATTTTGTTCAGAGATATGGTGAAAATAACGGCCCAATATGATGTGAAATTACATATTTTTCATTGGAAAACACGTGAGCACTTACACTGAAGTTATAACAATTTCCTGTTTCATGGTGAATCATCGATATTCAACGCCATGCCACGGACACGCCGTTCAACAAAAACTCACAGAAAGCGCAACTTTTCAACATCCGAGCCTTTAGACTGTACCTCGAAAATTTGAAATCGATCGGATTGATTCTCTAGGAGGAGTTTGTTAAAGTACATAAGCTGTAAATCGGCAAAAAACGACCATTAAATCCAAATTGGCCGACTTCCTGTTGGGTTGGGGGCATTGCTCCCAGAGGCTTTTTTTGTAGGTCTGTACATGATACATCTACCACAAAAAGTTCGGACATTTCAGAGAAATGATGCCCAGGGGCTGCTCTTTAGGGGGTGCTAGCGAGCCATTGTGCCACGCCCATTCACGAAAACCACATGACACGTAAATTTTCTTGGGATTTGTGCAGAGTTTGGTGAGTATTAGAGTGTGTGTGTGTGTGTGTGTGTGTGTGTGTGTGTGTGTGTGTGTTTAGGCCACAAAAAATACGATTTATTATCAGAAGAAAAATAATTCCTTCTATTTCAGTGTTTCATCTTTGGGCCCTAAGGTGGCCAGGTATTCCTAACTGTCTGTGGATATTTAAACTGAATCTATAAATTAATGTATTATTATTGTATATCACAGAATCATGATTGTCTACCCTGTAGGTGTGTTGCTGCTGGTTGGGCAGATAGCTGATGGTATCTGCACTCCTCTCATTGGGTACGAGTCTGACCGAACCCCTGGCTGTGGCAACTACGGCAAGAGGAAGACATGGCATTTAGTTGGTAAGTCAGATAAAGCAGATTGAGATAGTGTTACACAGTATGAACAACGACAGTGGCTTATATTTCGATAACTTGGCATGTAAATAGAAGTAGCAGTCTGCGAATGTTCTACTAGCTTCCAGCCCAACAGTGGGTGGTAAAAGGTCAATCAGTTGTTTTCTGTCAGTCAGCTGTTTCCTCTCATAGGTGAAAATGTCAGAGGGGCATACAAAGAATCCATAGTGTAAGGACTTGACAAATGTAGCCATACACATTATAAACCGTCTGCAGGGTCGTATTGTGTTAAGGCAGAAGCTTTGGAAAAGGGTAACATAACAGCTGAACATTGCTGAGCTGAAAAAAGCCTTTTATATGATTAATTAATTAATTAAATTTAATTAAAAAGCGACTTACAATTGCTATTTATGTCAGAGGTTGCACGCCTCTGGAGCAACTAGGGGTTAAGCGTCTCAAACCAAGCTGGTTAGAGCGGAGGCCCGGAGAGATCAGTTAATGGTGTTGTATCATAAAGTTTAGGGATGCGCCGAATGTTCGGCCACTGAAATTTATCGGCCGAAAATAGCAAAAAAAAAAGCACTTTCGGTGTTCGGCCTAATAAGTCAAAAGACACAATAAATTTTACCGTACAATTACATTTACATGTTTGCTGTGTGAAAGCATTTTTAAAGTGTCTGAGAAAGACGCAAAAATGTCCGTTTGCAGACGCTGTTCTGCTGAATTGTCTCCCAGCGCATCCACTACATCTGACAAGATGGAGGCAACAAACGGTCTGACCCGCTTTGAGTGTTTCTGTCACTCGTTTCTAAGAAGGCGATTAAGATAGCCGCACCTAAATTTGGAGTGCACACGTATTCAAGTCTTTATGGTAACTGAAACGGCCCAGAGCGAGCTGACAGGCAGGTTAGAGACTTTATCCTCTCAGTTTGTCTCTTTACAAAGACAAGTGTTGCAGTATGAGAGTCCTGCCTGAAGAGAGGCTGTGAAGTCTTCATGTTACGCCGTACGAGAACCACATACAACATTATTTATCAAACTGGGTTGGACTTGATGGATTTAGCGTGAGGAGGAAACACATGTGACAACGTCCGATTTTCAAAATAAGGCGTCTGTACAGGATGGAAATAAAATTAATTGGATTATATTCACAGAAAGTATAAAACATGTTACATGTGTCTATTAAAAGTAAATGGACATATGTAATTTACTTTAACGGACCGTCTCGGGCCCCGGACCCCCCTGCCATAGTCTCTCCACATCCTGTGGGAAACACTGAGTTAAAAGCACTTTTTGACTATTAAATTTATGCAACGGTAAAAAAAAGCCAAAATAAATGTAAAAAATGTAAAAACCTTGTTTGGTATTCGGGAAAGTTTTTTTATTATATTCAGTTTTGGCTTCAGCCACGAATTTTCATTTCTGTGCATCCCTAATAAAGTTGTTACTGCGATGTAGAGACAGTGCACAGTTAAAATATTACGTATGAAAGATCAGTGTGTTACTAACTTACCGCTCTGAAACGTCTTGCTCCAGTCTAGGTTGCGAAGCTGGTTCGGGTTTTTCTGCCTGTGTTTAGGGATCATGTACGGCTGAACCGAAGCCGTGTTTACCGGCTGAAGCAGTTTTGTTTTGGATCACACTACCTTGCTTGTCAGGACCCGCCCTAGTCTGCTTCTGATTGGGTAATAGCCCTTACCTAGCTACTGCGCATGTGCAACTTCCAACAAAGATCTTGTAGAAGTGAGGTGCGTCACTCGGTAGCTAAAACAAAGCGTGGAACGCATAGGGTGAAAAGAGGAGCTGCAGAAATGTGCAGGATGACAGAAATATGGTGTTTTTTAAAAAAATAAACCATGTAAACTGGCGGTTTTGTAGACTTTTTTTGTGTTTTGTGTGCAGTGGGTTGGAAGTGGCGAAGAAGTCCTTATGTTATGGCGTGTTCCAAATTTCTCAAAGCAAAATTTATGTTAAATATTGTGAATTTTGTTGATAATTGATGTTGAGCTGATTTTTACAAACCGTATACTGAAAGTATAGCCGTTTGCTTCTCTGTGTGTTGCCCAGGTACGCTGAGCGTGATGGTGTCCTTTGCCTTCATCTTCAACCAGTGTCCGCACTGTGACTCCCTCACCCCACAGTGGGCCAGCTTGCTCTACTTTGTCCCGTTCATCATCGTCTTTCAGTTCGGCTGGGCCGCCACCCAGATCTCCCACCTGTCTCTCATTCCAGAGCTCGTCACCTGTGAGCACGCTAAAGTAGAGCTCACTGCGTACAGGTACGTTTTATACACAAATGATACAGTACAAAGGAAGGTAATCTACAGATCCTGAATACTCAGTTTACTCCTTGTGTGCATGTGCAGGTATGCGTGCACAGTGATAGCCAACATCACGGTGTATGCAGTGGCTTACCTGCTGTTCCACGTCCAGGCTGGAGAACACAATGACCCGCTTAGCGATGCACTTGGACCCGCAGATATTCACATCTTCAGGGTGAGGAGGCACTTTACAATGTTCGAGAGTGGGTGGGGCTGCTAAAGATGACCATGAGACGTTGACAGTGAACAGTACCATGACGGCTGTCGCGATTATTATCCATTTATGTTTTGTTTGGCTTAACATTCACACAGTTTCTCTTGACTGTCCCTCAGTATTACAACATTATACATAGAGGTTAGAGGTGTTTATAAGCGGAAGTGTTCTCAGAAGAGTTTTCTGGAGCTTCTTGAAGTTAGAGAGGGACGCCACTGCTCTGATGGCGTGTGTTAGCTCGTTCCACCATTGTGGTGAGAACAGCAGGGACTGGGATTGCTTTGTATGAAGGGATGGCAGAGCAGACCAGACGCGCTGCTGCGTTCTGAACCATTTGTAAGGGTTTCACCGCACAAGCTGGAAGACCTGCTAGGAGGGCATTGCGATAGTTGAGACGAGAGATAACCATGGCCTGTACCAGAAGCTGGGTGGCGTTCTGAGTGAGGTAGGGTCTGATTTCTCTGATGTGTGACAGCAGCAACATGGTCTGAAAAGGACAGCTGGTCATCAATCATGACACCCAAGTTTCTCACCACCCTAGTTGAAATGATGGTTGATTGAAGAGTTAGTTTGTAGTTTGATGCTATGGTGGATAGATTGCTTGGCTGGAGAGGTTTAGTTGAAGGTGGAAGCCTTCATCCATGCAGAGACAGTCCGTGATCCGCGCTGAGACGGTGGGGTCGTCTGGCGGGAAGGATAGGTAGAGTTGCGTGTCGTCTGCGTAGCAGTGGTAAGAGAAGCCATGCGAGCGAATGATTGGCCTCAGTGAGGTGGTGTAAATAGAGAAGAGAAGGGGCTCTTGAACCGAGCCTTGGGGTACCCCTGTGGAGAGGCAGCGGGAGGAGGATAATTGTCCTTGCCACAAAACATTGTAGGAACGCCCCGGGAGATAGGATTCAAGCGATGTGCAAAAGTATTCTTTATAATTACTTTATTTAACAAGGAAGAAAAAAAGCCAACAGGAGCTAAAAGTGCACATGAGTTTACAAAGGTTTGAAATAATTTCACTTTGTTCTTGCCCGCCATGTACCGGCTTGAAAAGAATTTGTCCCGATGCCAGACTTATTTGCCGACCCCTGCAATAGGTATTTGAATATTTTTTTTGTTTCCTACATGCACCTTGACCTGACAGAATCTGGCGTTGATTGTGCTGGGCATCGGCGCTCTCTTCTCCCTCTTCTTCCACCTGGGAACTACTGAGTGGACACCTGGAACAGGAGGGGAGGCTGCAGAAGAGGAGGGGAGGAGGAGCCAGAGGAGCATGGAGGAGGAAGAGGAGGACGGGGAGCGAAGGCCCCTGCTTTCTCGCCTTAAGACCTCGTCTCCTCTGCAGTGGAAATGTTGGCTGCAGCAGCCTTCTTTTTACCAGGTAGGAAGAATCTTCTCTGATCTAAACTTCACTTGAAGCTACTCAGCTAGGAGTTGCTCTGTGTTTGGACAGAAGAAGCTTTTTGTGCATGCAGCAGTTCCTGTTGCAACAGCTTGACAGTTGCCAAATTTTGTGTTTTGTCAAACGTCCTGAAGCTAAAGCATAGAACAGTATTCAAAGTCTTCACTCTGACAGGTCTGTGCATTCCTGTGTACCTCTGTAGGTGGCCTTACTCTACATGTCCACCAGGTTAATAGTCAATCTGTCTCAGACCTACATCGCTATGTACCTCATCAACACTCTGGGGCTGCCCAAGGTAACACAAACTCATAAGAATCATTCTTTTTCAAATGTATATTATCAGTTCATGGTGACCAAACCGCCGCCACTACGCTTCTGTATCACAGATACGTTCTCCGGTCCTTCCTCATTGTTCATTCTGTTTCTCTTTCTCCCTCCAACAGAAGTACATCGCAACAATCCCTTTAGTGATGTTCGTTAGTGGCTTCCTGTCCTCCTTCATCATGAAGCCTCTCAGTAAACTCATTGGAAAATGTGTAAGTAAAACCTCAGCCTGGCCCAGACCTCTGAATTGGTACCGCGTCTTGCACTGCTCGTGATAACATAATGAGATCATCGTACAACATGATGACACGAAAGACAGAAGCCTTAGAATTCTGCTGCAAAATGAACGTTCTGCCTATTGTAATTTTTAATTTAGATTAATGTAAACAGGATCATAAAGTTAAAGTCAAAGGCCCTGAAAACCTATTCAGCCAAATCTAGTCAGCTTCTTGCAACGAGCGATGGGTTCAACACACCGCAGTTTCAAGTGCGAGGGGCTCAGTTGAAAAATGGTGATGCCACATACTTCCACAGGGCAGTCAGGATTTTTGTTCGCTCATGTTCCAATTCTGCTGTCAATCAAAGGTGATAAAACTTCACCCAACCAGTCCTGATGAAGCAGATTTGTTTTGATCTAAATACTTAAGGTTGTTTTGTAAAAATCTATAATAAAATGTCATTGCTGCTTATTTAGTCATGAATATTAAATCTTAATTAAATTAAATTAATTAAATTTGGAGCCAAGTTTTTAGGGGCTTTAAATTTATTCCATTTATTTAACATTTCCATGTTTCCATAGCTCCCTACTAGGGCTGAACAATTGCAATGTCATAAAACGAGATTTTCTAATCACAAAGGCTGCGATTACACTCTGGTCACATGACATCCAAGAGTAAAGCAGTCTGCAGACGAAGCATCAACTTTGCACGTTACGGCGTACCTTGACTTGTTGTTGTACAACGACCTGAAGTTTGACAGAAGCTGACACGACAGAAACTTTAGTGTCGCACAGGGGATGAAAGTAGCAGCGTCGGGCCTCTTGCCGCTTTGGCGGACAGGAAAAAACGCACAGCAGAAAGACACGTATAGTAAGCCAAGCGTATTGTGGCGATCGGCGCCTGCGTCACACACACAGCCTCCAGTCAGCTCAGGAAAAATCTGTGAAACGGCGTTTCAAACCAAACGCAGAAGTCCGAAAGAGGCTCAGTCTGTCCCGAGTTACATGGCTGGGTCATGACCAAAGGAACTAGATTGCTTGTACAAGCTGCTGAAATGGGTTTTCTTAGCAGGGTGGCTGGCGTCTCCCTTACAGATAGGGTGAGAAGCCACGTCTGTTAGGTGATTCAGGCACCTAGTAAGGACGCTCCCTGGGCGCCTCACTAGGGAGGCGCATCCAGCTAGGAGAAGGCTGCTGGAAAGACCCAGGACTAGTTGGAGAGATTACATTTCTACACTGGCCTGGAAACACCCCCTGTCAGAGCTGGTTAATGTGGCTCGGAGGAAAGGGATGGTTGGGGTCCCCTGCTGGAGCTGCTGTCCCCGCGACCCGACCCCTGATAAGCGGTTTAAGCTGGATGGATGGATAAAAACATGCTGCAAATTATGGAAATTAGTATGTCTCACATTTTTTCAATACATCTTGACTTTCGGAGTTGTCAAATGTTTGAAACAATCCTGCGCAGCCACCACCAGAATCTACAAATTGTGTAATACTAATAAATTATAGTGTAGCGTAATCTTAGGGGGCTTTCACAACTGAAAGTCGGCACCAAGGTCCGAACCAAAGTTCATGTTTTGATATTTTGATACATTCGGTTAGTTTTGGTTTGGTTTCACACTGCAATTCAAAACTAAAGGACTTTACATCGTCATCATCTATGTGGGCTGCGTCTCCCTCTACTTGACTTTGATTGGTTTATTAAACAGTTCAGCGGGGAGCTTTGACAACAATGAATGAATAAACCATTAACATATGCATATTTGCCACCACTATATTGTTATTATGGCATTACTTCCTGCAGCACCAACTATACTGTAGGCTCGTTCAAATTTGCAATTAAACGCCCTCGTTGTGCGGACGTTACGACGTCACCGACAGGACAGGAGGAGAAGACAGCAAGCGATCTTTCTGCACCTCCGTTTGAGGAGAGACCAAAGAGATGGGTGGCAATGTGCTTCCCTCTGTTTGAAAAGATGAGCTGTCACGGGAGATTTATAATTGCGTCCTCATTTCAATGCATTTCTCCGTGCATTTGTTTGTTTTTGGTTTACATGACAACCGCTGAACTTCCTATAAATAGTTTGAAAGTCCCAACCATCCAAACAATGCTTTCACACCAGAAACAAACCGAACCATGGTTCAGTTTGATCCGAGACTACCTCTGGTCGTCTGACCAGATTTTATCTGTTTGGTCCGGGGGAGGTTTCACACCTGCAATTTTGGTTCGGGTCAAACTGAAAAGTCAGAAAGTCCGGACCAAATGAGGCAGGTGTGAAAGCCCTCTTAATCTGCACCTGTGCTGAAACACCGGGTTTAAACAGAATAAATAGACAATTTCAAATGTTGAGGGCCGCACCTCCTCATCAGATTCAGATACACCGTCACTGAATGTTAAGTAATACTTGAGTGTCCTGAATCTGAGTTTAACTTGTGTTTCTACACTTAAGAGGAGGAGGAAGTATTTAAGCCAGAACTGAATATGAACCAGCACCTCACCTCGCTGTCTCTCTCTCTCGATTGGTCCAGCTCACCTACTTTGTGGGCCTGCTGCTGATCATGGCCTTCTCCTACTGGGTGCTGTTGGATGATAGGATGGATCAGCGGGTGTACGGGGCTGCTGTGCTGCTGGGGGTGGGGTCAGCAACCATCCTGGTCATATCGCTGGCCATGACCGCCGAGCTCATCGCCGATCAGACGGTAAGGTGTGTGTGTGTGAGAGCGAGAGCGAGAGCGAGAGAGAGAGAGAGAGAGAGAGAGAGAGAGAGAGAGAGAGAGAGGCAGGTGTGATCCAACCTTCATGGAAAGCGTCCTTTAACATCCCCCGCTGTCTTCATCGTCCTCTCTCTGCAGCAAAGTGGAGCGTTTGTGTATGGAGCCATGAGTTTCACGGATAAGCTGGCTAATGGAGGAGCTGTGATGATCATTCAGGCCCTGCATCCCTGCCAGTTAGTGTACACACACACACACACACACACACACTCGGTTAATTGTTATACATACTCTATCTACAATATGTATGTTTAGTTAAGTCAATTTTATTTATTTTATTTTTTATTGTGGACCATATACAAAAAAAATAAAATCAGAAAAAATAAGTCAGAGATCAAAGCGCAGACCTCCTGATTAGTAAGCAACGTGCTGGTTTTGATGCAGTAACAATAAAAGGGGAACCAACAGAAATGTCCATAAAGGGGAAAAATGATCTTTACAAATGAATGGACCGTAGCTTTCAACCAGACAAAGAGAAAGTTTGAATCCCAAATATCACATTAACCCAGAGTGCTCGTGTGTCTGTCGGCTGCCTGTTCCCATTTCTTTTCTCATCCCCCTCCGTCATAGCGACGCCACACACAACTGCCGCAACGTAATTTTCAATGCGACACACACACCCTCCACGCACAGACAGCTGTTTCTTAAGTTAAAACGTTTCAACCTTCCTCAGAATGTAAAGACAGATGAGCTGTATGAAAACCTTCCAGCTGTGTTTTCCTCTGCCGTTGTTGCTGCAGCGGTCTGTGTGACGGCGGGAGCAGAGGGCTCTGTGAGCGGCCAGCCGGCCGGACTCACACGCTCCTCGCGCGAGTTTTGTTCCGCCATCACTTCTTATAAAACTGTCAATATTTGAAATCTACACAGCTGATTTCTCACCTCAAAACTCCTCAGAAGTGGATTTAGTGATGAAATCACATTTGAAAACTGTAAAATATAAAACTTCCTGTTGCCTCTGTCTGGTGCAGCAATGATGACGCAGTGAGTAGTGACGATTCTCTCTGACCAATCAGCAGTCTGCTGTGTTTTCACATCACATTTTAGAATCGCCTCAGCTCGCTTCGAACCTCGACGGAGGTGATACGAAAAAAAGTACCTGAAAGCATCTACAGGTGCAACTTTTCCGCAATGGAAAACCAAACAAAGGCGAGTAGAGTCGAGGTGAGTCAATCTGGTGGCGTGCAGTGGAAAAGGGGCTAAAGATCCTGTAATCCAAGAAATACTAACATAGACAAGCTGTATACATTTTATTTTATTTTACTCATGAACGTTGTTATGTCCCCGCTCGCTACAGGTAGGGGAGACATAAACATAAACCAGATGTTTTTGGTATGGGGGAAAGGTTATTTATTAAACAGAGGTAAGCAACAAAAGTCAAAACAGAAATTGGGCAAGTGGGTGCTGCGTAAAACAAAGAACTAAATATAACCAAAAGAGATCCCTCCTAAACGAGGGATTACTAAACTACCGTGAAAAAGAAGAAACAAAAAGCTCTCCAGTCGTCGTAGAAAACAGAAACACAAGGAGCGCAGCGTCAGGGGAATCAGTGCTAACCTGGAGCCTTAGCCCAATTCTGCAGACCAATCCCCAGCCGGAAACAGAGACATACACAGAACAAACGTGTGTAAATAGAGGCCTACGCATGCAAGGATGTGAGCGACTTTGACAAGGGCCGAATGTGATGGGTAGACGACAGAACATCTCCAAAACGCTCTGCACCTATCAGAAGGTTTGATACAGTGGGCATCAGAACTGGACCACGAAGCAATGGAAGAAGGCGGCCTGGTCTGATGAATAAAGTTTTCTTTTACATCCAATGGATGGCGCTTACCTGGGGACCACATGGCACCAGGATGCACTATGGGTAGAAGGCAAGCTGACGGAGGCAGTGTGATGTTTTGGACGATGCTCCGCTAGGAAACCTTTGGTCCTGACATTCATGTGGATGTTACTTTTATTGTTGCAGACGACGCACACCCCATAACTCTGCCACAAAGCAACAACTTGGCCTCCAAATTCCCCAGATCTCAATCCAATCGAGCATCTGCGGGATGTGCCGGACAAACCAGTCCGATCCACGAAGGCCCCGCCTCGCAGCTTACAAGACTTAAAAGATCTGCTGCTAAAGTCTTTGTGCCACAGCACACCTTCAGAGGACTGGTGGACTCCATGCCTCGACGGGTCGGGGTTGTTTTGGGGGCAAAAAGGGGGACCTACACAATATTAGGCAGGTGGTCATAATGTTATGGCTGATCAGTTGAACAAGGAACTTTAACAGGAGCTCCAGCTAGTTTCAGTGTTCTGCTCTCAGACTGTAACATACTCTTAAGATCCTCTGCTGTCCCTCTATCTGTTCCTCAGTACTGCCATGTGCTGTCCCGCCTGTGTGTGGTTCTACCATTACGTCATGGTCATAGTAACGGGAGGCGTGGCAGTCATCGCAACTTTGGCGCTCTGCTCCATCCTCATCTGGCCAATCAAGATTAGACCACGTGAGTCGGACCGCTATACGTATACACTGCGTAGCTTATTTCCTCACTCATTAAAGCAGTTCTTATCATGTCTTATTACTGGTTCACATCTTACCCACTCCGTGTTTCTGTGTGTAGGTGGTCTGCCAGTCATCTCTGAGGATGAAGCCAGGATCAACTAACAGCCCCGCCCCCCCTTCCCCCTCTTCACTACAACAGCAGTACAACACAAACTCTGAACTGGTTTCAGCTGGACAAGAAGAGCTTTCACTTTTGTTTTTTGTTTTTTGTAAGATTCCTCCTTCGTTTTTCAGGGTAAAGCAGCAGGGGAATTCCTACCTGGCTGCTCGCCTGGTGCTCTTAACCCAGCGCATTCTGGTGGAGGAGTTAAAAGGGAAACCAAGAAGGGACTTTTTATTTTATGACAGTTTGAGCTAAATGTTTTTGTTTTCTCGTCATTTTCCCAAAAAAAGATCTTTCCATTCATTGTGCCTGGGGATTATTAAAGTCAGGATATATAGGTTAATTATTGTTGTTGTAAAGTCCTAACTGCAGCGCTTTATGGATGGATTTTCACCCACTTTCAGAACTTATCAGGGTCAAAGCCACAGCTGAATGCACAGGTGACAGTGTTTGTAAAGATGGCTGTTTAAATTCTGATGAAAAATACAGAGCGTGATGTCTCCTACCTCCTCGCTGTTTAGCTTATGAGTTTAAGCTGCTGATTTAACAAAACAGTATTAACAGTTCAAACAACAGCACAGATAAAGGACCCTTTAGATCATAAATTTTAAAGTTTAGGAGTGTACAGCAAAGATTCAAGGATTAAGGCTAAAATAAATCTTACTAAAACAGTGTCCATGAGCAATAAACAAAAATAGCATTATTATTATTAGTAGCGATCAAGATGCTGTAAAGGACAGATTCTTCACATAATTAATGAAGGGAAAAACAGATTCTATTGTATTTTTGAAGTGATCCATTTGAAGAGAACTATTTTGACTTCTGATCATTTTAACTTGTGCAGAAGCATCTTGGCGTCAATTCGTGCCACCCCATGATAATTACGTGTCTGATCACCTCTTCTCATTGCCTTTGTATGAAATTGCGCAGCCTAAAAAAGTCACCTTGTATTCAATGACGAGTATTAGGGCCACATGAAAGGAAATAAATTAAAGATTTTTTCATTTATTTTGCATTTTGAGAATAAAGCATAAAACATTTTCGACTTCATCCTGTCATTTCGATGTTGTTCTCGACATTTTGACTTTTTTTTTTTTAAATGTTATTCAAACTTTGTTCTTGTAGTTCTGACTTTATTCTTGACACTTCGATTTTATTCTCAAAATTTTCTAAATGAAACGCAAACTGAATTCTTATTATTTCGACTTTATTTTCGAAAAGAGACTCAAATTTTATTCTTAACATTTTCCCTTTATTCTCAAAATGAAACTTGAACTTTATTCTCGTTATTTCGACTTTATTCTCTACATTTCAACTTTTTTTCAAAATGATACTCAAACTTAATTCTTGACATTTCGACTTTATTCTCAAAATTATAATCAAACTTTATTCTCATTATTTTGACTTTATTCTCAAAAAGGTAATCAAACTGAATTCTTATTATTTCGACTTTATTTTCGAAAAGATACTCAAATTTTATTCTTAACATTTCGACTTTAATCTCAAAATGATCATCAAACTTTATTCTCGTTATTTCGACTTTATTCTCAAAATGATAATCAAACTTTATTCTCGTTATTTTGACTTTATTCTCTACATTTCAACTTTTTTTCGAAATGATACTCAAACTTAATTCTTGACATTTTGACTTAATTCTCAAAAAGGTACTCGATCTTTGTTTTCGTCATTTCAACTTTTTTTTCGAAATAGAATACTTTATTCTCAACATTTAGACTTTATTCTCAACATTTAGACTTTATTCTCTAAATGCAAAATAAACAAAAAAATCTTCATCCTCAATTTCCCCCCGTTAACGTGGCCCTAATACTCGTACATAAATACATCGTAGCATTCTGTCTGAACACCGTAATGAAAATACAGGAAAAATGATTCTAATTTAAATCAACCATGATAAGGAGGAGGTTGGAGTTGGCGAGGGAGCTGTACATTACTAATGAGCTGGTGATTGTGATTGTGAATGAAGCAGCTGATGCCATTACAGTCTATTTGGCTTTGGCGCCATGTATGATTGGTCAATCCATTGCTAAAATTGGGACACATTCACACAAATCTTAATATCTGGTGTATTTTACACATTTTCAGTACTAGAATCCTTATTTTATTTCCACCGAACCCGACCAAGACACGATAGCTTCACGTTCTGGGGTTTGAAGAATAATAGACCATCACACTACAGAGCTGTGAACTTTAGATTCTTTAGGTATGATCTGATTTTGTTTGATTTTTACACTGGTATGCCTTTAACTGGAAAATGGAAAATGATGAGAAAACAGGGTTCAGGTCACAGTAGTCTAAACTTTTTGTCATTGCATGTGTGCTATTCTAGGCAATGCAGAACATGAGGGGAAATAGTGGGAACAGACTGACATGTAGAGTTCCCGGTAAAGGGAAATGTTTGGTGCCAAATAAGATGATGAAGGGAACCAGATACAGTGTGTGGTGCATTCAAGTGCTCAGACACGCCAAAGAAGAAGCACGGACCATTTATATCTGCTGTCCTGTCAGTACTTAGTTATGCTGATGTGACACGCTGATAAATTCCAGAAATCTTTCCTGGGTTTCAAAGTGTAGTGCTTCATTTAATGGTCATTCCACTACATTTTCATCTCTACTGAATGACACACTACATTTACAGACTGTCGATATACACATGAAAACTGCCTCTGAAATCCAAACTGCAAAGAAAAATTAAGGAAAATCAAGCTGCGACGCACAGACGGCACCTAAAAAAGAACTTACCTTGAATGTTACGGCAAGAGCAAACACAACCTGTGAAATCAGAGAAGCTTTACAGCGTTCACTCTGCTGCTGAGGTCAATTTAAAACCTTGGCGTGAGGGAAACTGGGATAACTTTGTTGTGTTTGTGCCTCATTGTTGTGGATCATTTAAATTGAACACTCTTATTTTGTTTTTTTCACTCATGGAACAATAATTATTACGAGAGATTTTCTGTTTTAATCATCTGTCATTGTACATAGTTTTACCTCTTTGTAATCACAGACCAAATAGAATAGAAAAAAAATATTTTTACAATCAAAATAAACTTGAAAAGCAGAATTGTATTTCATATGAAATGACTTGCAAAGGGATCAGTGCTGTAAAATGTGTGTACTTATAATGTGTGAATACCAATAAAAGGGAATCATACTGGTAAACCGTCAACGCAGCAACTGATGCTTGACTGGGAGCTGTGGGAAAATGCGTGAATTCAGTTCCAGTGCTGTAGAGTTTTTTGTGCCCAGTTCAACCTACGGAGTCCCTGAAGTCCCATAAGTATTTCATATCTTGTGGGAACAAGATAAGGATTTAAAAATAAAGATAATGATAATTATTTTGTTCCCACAAGATAAAAAAAAATGGGGGCTCCGTATCAACCAAAGCTCTATCGATGCTTCTGTTTTATGCCTTTTTTGTGATTTCTATGATCGTTTGTGTGATAGTTTTGTTTTATAGACAGACACTCGCTAAACACATTTGATGAGGTGCATCTAGAAATGCATCCGTGTTTGACTTCAATTTTGAATTATTAGTAATTCACTCAGCTTTATGGGAAAGTGAAGCACAAACCATCCACATCGTGAGAAGAAAAAGTAACTGAATTGAGGAAAAGATTAAATAATTTTAAGCAAACGTCGATGTGATGTGATGATTGACAGCTGCTAAATAGATCTCGAGATGAGGTTGTCTTTTTCATTTGCTGTTTCTAAGATAAAAAATGTAACTTTTAATCTCATTAAAAAATTAAAGCTGCAGCAGCATTGGACGGGCCCTCGCACTCTTGTCTGACGCGCTTCTGGGAGTGCCGAAGGACTTAAATGCCACTTCCTGTGTCCCCTATGTGGCGCTAGAGAGCACCCTGTAGTTAAATGTTATGAGAATTTCATGTAAATCTCAAGCCGATAGTCACACAGAGCCTGTTGCCAGCAGGTGGCTCTATGACTATAATTTAATATTTTCATACGGATGTGTTCAGGGTGGGACTCACAGACACGCCCTTCGACGAAAACTCAAAAGTTTTTTCAACTTTTCATCACCAATTTCTTTTCATTCCACAGCGAAAATTTTGAAGTTGATCGGATTAATTTTCTAGGAGTTCGTTAAAGGACGGAGCCAAAAATCACCATTAAATTAGAAATGGACGAGTTTCTGTTGTGTTTGGGGCGTCGCTCCAAGAGGCATTTTTTTGAACGTCTGGACATGATACATGTGCCCCAGAAATTTTGGTCACCGCCTGAAACTTGTGGCAGGGGCTGCTCTTTAGGGGGCTTGTACAATTTCAACCTGTCTGATGTGTGAGCAGAGTTTTGTGAGTTTTTGAGCATGTTTTACTTAAAACAAAACTTCCAAACCAACAGAGTGAATCAATCTGAGAAGGGAACAACACTCTTGGGTTGAGCTGCTTGACATGCAACCTTTGATGAGGGCTCAGCTAAAACTAGCCTATTATTTAAATGTAGGATCAACTTCAATCAACCAAATCGGTTTGTCTTGCAGACTCAGTTTGTATGAAAATATGCTGATTGCCCTGTCAACCTCTTTGCCAGTTAAACATAGCAGAAGATTGTCCTCTTTCATTTCTGAATGAACTCTGTTGTTTGGCTCCAAAGTCATGGTTTAGGTCTGATTAGCTTTTTTTTAATCAGTAGCTATTGATCCCCAAGTTACAAAATGATGGTTAATCATTTAACTACTGATTGTCCATAAGGTAGAGTTGTTTTTTTGCAGGGATTGTTTAATTTGGTTCCATTTTCAGCTTGTAAATATTTTTCTTACGACTTAAAAGTGTTTTCATATTTTCACATTTATTTGCTTTAATTACATTTTCTGTGGGTCAATCGACTGAATCCCAGTGAGCTGCAGTGTCTCAGCACATGCAGCCTAATCTCAGGGTCGGCACTATCTTTCTTACCACTGGAACATGTTGTCTTTAAGAGGTCCTCTGGAGGACACTCAATCTAAATCTATGGTAAAGGCATTCAGCCCTAGTTCAGCCAGGTACATGTTGTAAAACAATGAGATGCCCTGGACAGATCTCTTACATTTCCCGAGGACCCGATCAACCTGAGGCCCTCAGTGAGTAACATTAATTACATGATTGTGTTTGGAGATGGAATTCCTATTACAGCTGTAAGTAGCTTCTGCCATTATTGTGTCACAGGCTAAGATGCAAAAATATTTGTGGCGGCCCACAAATAAATCAATGTGTGGGATAATTATCAACGCTGACCACCACATATGGATTTTTTTTTGTTTTTTTACTAGGCGTATTTAAAATCGTATTTGATTGAGGAGCATATACTCCTGCAGCACCTCCTCTCGCTCGCTCCAGGGGCCTTTCCGAAACTAGACCCTCGCACCTTCCCCTCCGACACGGAGTGAACTCTTGTTACCGCTGCTCTCACTGCTATAACATGCGTATCAAATAAACAAGAGTTCTGTTAAGATTCAGGATTGATGTTTTTTGCAACAAAAAAAGAAGAAAAGAAGAAAGAAGAAAAAAGAAAAGCCTATACATTTGAACCTGTTTATCTTAGCTTAAATGAAAAATATTACATTCACAAATACATTTCAATATAAATCATAGCCTAAATTATATTGAAGCATTATATAGTCTAAGGAATTTAAAACAGTTAAAATGTATAAAGACTTACGCTAACTATTTTTCTTTAATACCTTTGTTGCTTGTTACATGATCCCCCTGTGTATCTAGTTGCTCTGTCTATCAGACAAGATCATTTCTTCTTAAACACAACGTTGTTAACCTGTGAATGGTGACATGAAATGTTAGTGTAGTTTCAGAATTTAAAAATCCTACATGTTAACCGGTAATTTCTGAGTAACTTGCCCAACACTGTCTGTGAAGGTTAAAGTCAACTGGACTTGGTTGAAGATACTAGAAAGTCCAGTTCCCCTTGACTTTAACCTTCTTTGGATTTCCCAACACCAAAGATCTGTCATTTCCCGCCATGACACTGTGGGCCTTCCTGAAACTAGACCCTCCCCACTTCCACTCCGTCGTGGAGTCAAAGTCACCCTCACAACCGCACAGAGTTCCCTAAATAAACATGTAGGGTATAAATACAGCGGCCACCTTTCAGCTAAACTTCCCTCTCACTAGTGGAAATAGGACCTGACGTTACTGCTGCTCTCTCACTCACTGCCATCATACCTTTATTTTTTTTAAATTAAGATTCAGGATTGACGTCCAGGAAAAGTGTTTTTCAACGACGACACTGAAACTATTTGTCATTTATTTTATGATATGTACCAAGTTATTTTTTTGGTTTATTTTGGTTAAATTTAGAATATTTCTTTAACACTCGACAGCTGAAGGAGACTTTTTCACCAACTCTCCTGGTTCCGCTATACATTTAGGCAACGAAAAAGAGACATTAGTCTTTTTTGATATGATTGATGTTGACTGTAATAGACCAGGTTATATATTTTGAACCTCTCTTGAAACCTCTATTCCATTCACAAACACAAATGGTCTAAAAAGAAACCACAAATATTTCAAAATAGAAAAACATTATACTGAAGCATAATGTGTTCTGGAAAATAGTAAAGCTATTCGAATTGTTGAAATGTGTTAAGATTTAACAATTTTTTTCTTTAATGGCTTTATTGCTTGTTACATGATACCTCGTTTTATGTACTTTTTGTGTTGGCTGAAAATGTTTGTATGAGAATAATATGTATTGTCTATCAGACAAGCTTTTTGTTTATCATTAAACACAATATAACCTTTAGGCTAACCTGTGTATGGTGATATAGAAAAGTTTCGGAATTTAAAAATCCTACATGCTTACAGGCGTAGACGCACGGAGCTTGAAAGAAGGGCCCTCCATCGTGCAGCAAAGGTTGTTACACACCTTCAACAAGCCAGCATCAGTGCTCACTCAGCATTGGAGGGTTTTATAACTGACTACCACTCAGTGCTGACTGGTTTCGGATGGCACTTGATGTCGCGCAAGGGAGGAGCAAGTGTGATGTGTGAGGTTGAATCAGTTTTCGATGCTATGGTTGAAATGGGTTCCCTGCAAAATGGAAGCTTTAGTCTAAAACTGTTGAACCAGCTTAAGGCCCCGTCCACATTTCTAGTTAAAAACAGAGTTTTAAAACAAATTCGATCTCCATCCACACCAGCGTTTTAGCTGCGTATCAGAGTTGATCTCCGTCTATATTAAAACGACTAAAAACGCACTTCTAGTGGCCGTTCACGTACGCTGGGCATGAAGCAGATGGTCTACTCCGTAGTTCCAGAAGATTTGGCGAAAATAATACAGACGAAGAATCAGATTTTACAGCTGTGGCGGCAGAAAACAGACTGGGAGTCGTCGCAAAGTAAATATGGACGACATGCAGAGTACAAGTGTAGGCTGTTAAGTGTTGTTTGCACGGTACAAAATATTTTAATAAGTCAAAAACTCTGTCAGCAGCATCGTGTTTCTGCTTTGCATGACTTATGAGACCCAATCAGAGAGCCAAACGTGAGCGTCTGCGTCATCGTTTCTAAAGTCCTCCGTTTTTGCCCGTCTTCACTAAAACGCTCTCCGAAGTTTTAAATCGGAGTCGGCAGCGTTTTCAAACTTTTAGTCTGGACGGTAGCAAAGGTCAAAAGGTTTTAAAACGAAAACGCTGCAGTGTGGACGGAGCCTAAGACAGTTCCAGCCTTGAATTCCTTTGGAACCCCACTGGGTGCCTCAATGGCAGCTATGTACACGCTACGGTGAGATCTGTTAATGTCAACAGCAAGTACTTTAGCCTGTGACTCTACTGGCTGAAGATGACAAGAAGTGGTTGTTCACTGGATGCAAAAGACAGTATAAAACTGGTGCTTAAGAGGCCGGCAGAGTTCCTTGACGGCTTTGCCTTGTACTACAAAAACAACTTAAAACAAATGAATAGATGACTTATTATTTATATTGTGTAAATAAACACAAACAGGATACAGCATCTCTGCTCTTCAGGTGTGAATTTGATATTTAAACTGTCACGTTCCATCATCCAAACCAGAGAATCAAGCATGTAAACATCAGAGGTCAGTGGCTCATTCTGAGAGGGGTTCGGGGTCAAAGTCAACTGTTTGGCCCTGAACAGCAGCAAAGGAACAGTGTGTAAATCTGGATTTTCATGAACTTTTCACATTCCTTGTTCCTGCA